GGTTTAAAAAACAACAGGTGGGTGTTTTTCTTCACTGGTTGCCCGATTCTGAAGAAACTGTTCTCTTTGGATGGTTTTCTGGAGTTAGGAAAAAAGAACTCGAGGGCTCCCTTAAAAACAAAAGCAGTCCTAAGCACTGTAATAATTCAGAGGTAAATCTCACTGAGATGAATAGGATCTAGTCTTCAGTGAGCTTGTTTAGGACTCCAGCTAAAAAGAGAGCAACTTGGGAAGTGCGCCCTGCAGGGGAAAATAGGTTCTTTAGCTCGGAAAGCCACACTCCACAATAGGAGGCAGGAATCGGCCTGTTCCAGGTGCATGTACCTGGCATGTTCCATCACCTGAGACAACCACAAGCACGTTGCTTCATGCATGCAAGTGTTCCTAGGAAGCCCATTTCCCGCAGCACAGAAGGTTTCAGCCTGGTAACATGACATTTACATACATTTACATCCTGAGTTCCACGCAAGTTAGTCCAAGTAACACAGGGAATCAGGATGTCACACACTGTCAAGAGATCTTCTTACAGACTTGAACCTCTCGCCAGCCTGACACTTCCCTGAGAAGTGCTGCGGCGGCGGCGGCTTTGTTTTCTTATGGAGTTCTTCTACAACTCTGCGAACTGGAGAAAGATCGGCTGCCTGGTGATATCATCACCTTCCCATCATCAATATAAATTTTATTTTGGTTTTCCTAAGACTCTGAGATCCTCTCATAAACCCATGCCGCAGAGTTTTTGTGGTTGGCTTCTTTTTTTAAGGGCTTTGAAGCTGGCCCATAAAAAGGAAAAACAACAGCCACCAATAAGCTCCATGTGTAGTGGAAAAAACAACTCTTCTCCAAATTATTTCTTTAGCAGTACGGAAGCATGATCTGATGCCACAGCTTGTGTGGTCAAACAGATGGGAAGCTGGATGTGGGGCAGCTGGGAAAAAGTATCCCAGGGAAACACAAGTTCAAGCCCGGAGCTGCGCCATGGAGCCCAGCATCAGTGCCTTACCTCTGCAAAACAGACGACAGTGTCATTACCCTGTTCAAAATGGCTTTTTAGGACAAACACAGACGCTCAAACAAAGCATAGCAACGAAGAGCGAATTGTCAGGGCCTGCAGAAGTCAGAGTTCATGGGCTATTACCTGTCCGTTCAAATAAGGGGGGGGGGTAAGTAACTGGCAGAGGTGGCAGTACAAGGCAGCAAAAGACAACCTGCAGGTCTGTTAGCCCAAAACAGGTGGGGAAGGACGGACGGACAGACGGATGGAAGGAGAGAAAGACAGCAAGAGCTCGGCTACACAAAGCCATCTCTTGGGATATTGTTCATTTAATTATTTGAAGGGTCTGTATACCACTCTCTACCTGAAATGATACCTGTGCAGTGAACAGCAAAAGAGTCAAGATAATTAACCCTTTAAAATCCAATTATGCCATGACTTGTTAGTCATGAACTAGGTAGAACTAGTTTAGTTAGAACTAAAGCCAATGACTTGTCAAGTCAGAGAAGGCTTGTTGAAATAAAAATGTCTTTTGCAAGCGACACAAATGCAACATCGGTGCTTGCCTCACACCAACAGGCAGGGAGTTTTACACCAAAGAAGCCACACTACTGAAGCTTTGATTCTAGAGTCGATGCCAAACGGTACAGAGTCACCGAAAGCATGCTCTTCGAGAAACTCAGTGAATCTACAGCCTGGTAAGGGTGAAGGCACTCTCTTAAGCATCGTGGTCCCAAATTATTTCATTTTCAGATTACAGGCACTCTCCAAGGCTGGGGTTTTCTAGGGCCTGGCTGTTCAGGATAAGCAATGGACTGTTCAGGCAGGCGCTGCTGTGATGTGGCATCCATGGAGCACAGAGTCTTGCTGCTGGGAAGCTGCTGCAGCGGCCTTAACGTAACAGGATACTAGCTACTGCTAGAAATCACCAGCTGGCTTTATCCCTAGAACAGCATCCTGCCAACCTAGCCCGGCCCCGCAGAACTTCTGGTACCTGCTAATGCCGCCTTCCCCAATATATACTGCAACTCCATCAGCCCCAGTGAGGGAGCAGGGATGGTGGAGTTGTTTCCTAAGGCCGATGAAGGGCACAAAGCTGGAGAAGGACTGATGTACAGAAGCACCCTCGTCCGTATGATTGACGGAGCAGATGTGCACAGCTGGCCTTTCGGCAACGGCAACCCCGGCAATCTTAGCGGTTCGGTCCTAACAGAGTCAAAAAAGGACAGAAGAAAGCGATACCAGGGAAAATAGGGATAGCCGCGGGAAGTGGCAACAGATGCACTTCCCGCTCAAGTCCTCCGTTCGACAAATCTGTTTCTCATCACAAGAGGCCCAAAGAAGAATTTGCCCCTGGGAAGAAGAGGAACGGTGGCTAGGAGGGGACTCAGACAGGATTACAGAGAGAATGAAAAAGGTCAGGGGTTGGGCTGCGTGAGAGCAATTGGTGATAGCCTCTGTGTGTCTTTAAAAGCAATTGGTTCTATTTGAGCACCCCTTACAAAATAATTGGCCGAAATACAAGCTGCATCCGAGGACCAGTCCCAAAGGTGAAACTTTCACACTGTGCCAAGCAGGACCTCTTGTTTCTGAGCACTTGATCACATCTCACTCAGGTAATGGAAGGCGTGGAAGCCAGGGGCAGGGGCTGCACACAGGTGAAGAACATACTGATGACCAGTAGTTTGTTTCTGATGACCAAACAATGAGGGCCAGCGACTTAGTGCTCTACCAGAAAGCCACAAGAGGGTTGAAAAAACAAAATAATAAGCCTCTCCAAATTCGTATAGCTAAGCCTGGAGGCAAATGTTTCGACACCAAACGCCCTCCAAAAGACTTGCAGCTCATGAAAACCATGTGCAGAAGTTGCCGGAAGTTCTCTGCTGCGACGTCCTGTGTTATCCATCACTGCAGCGTGCTAATGCATATATTCACTACGGTCTTGGCTGGAGTTGTGCTGACGCTCTACTGCTAGCGCACACCGACAATGAAGAGTCTTGTGTATATGAAATTACTTGTGGACAGACAACGAAGAGGGACCTCTTGTTCTCCACACGGGGAAAGGAGAATGACACCCCAGAATGCTTGGAAGGATCTATGATCCCCCCCCTTCAGCACACAGTTCAATCAAGCACACCCCATCTTTGTGCACAAAGCCCAATTTCACCACGTTAAGCCAAGTCGTAGGATCACAGAAGAGCAGCGTTGCAAGGAGCCATGCAGGCCCCTGGGTCCAAGCCCCGCACGACACTCACTCACGCCATCCCACACAGATGGCTGCCCAGTCTCTTCTTCTAGTGTGTGGGAGCCCACGAGCTCTCGGGGCAACTGGTTCCACGGCTGCATCGCTCTGACAGCCTAGAAGAGGATTTAGCTAATAGATTCCTGCCCCTCCTGTTGCGGACTTACCTGCAATCCCATATAGCCACTACTGTTTTCTGGGAAAGTTTATACCCCACGTGACCTCTCCTGCACGCACTGGACAAACACAAACGTCCTTCATTTTGGCAAGATGGTTCATATCCTCCTCTACACATCCACTAATGGCTTAACGCAATATTCCTCAGCTCAACGCATCTCTCACAGGACTGGATTTTTTTAAGGTGTTGCACAGCAGAGGCAGCCCCAGCAATCCAGATTCTGCCTCTACAAGTGGAGGGACACGTTCCTGTGTACTCAGCCCAGAGCAGCTATGGACATCCCGGGATACACCGACAGCTCTCTACAATTCCCGAATGAGAAGAGCAGCGACGGTGCCCAGCATGATTTTTCTCCTCACAGTGCACAAAGACGAAAACGTGACATGCTCCTCTCGGTTCGCATGGGGTAATGAACCGGGAAAACCCAACTGACCAGGGCAGCGCTCCACCAGGACTGAACGCACGCCAGTTCTGCAGCAGATGGGCTGGTGCTCCTCAGCAGATGAATGGACGTGGAAACGTTGCCTTGGAAGCCACAGGCTAGAGAAGTTTGTTTAAAAAAACAACTGCATGCATACACGAAACAAAGCAACAAAGGGAACTGCTGGTCTACCAAGGCCCTAAGACTGACCAGAGAGCCAAGACAAGAAGCACGCAGATCTCACGCGTATCAAGCGCAGTCACCTCACGCTAAGCTGCGCTGGAGAGATGCAGCTGCTGCGGGAGAATCTGGCCCCAAAGAGGCAGCTTTGTCCCACCTTGTTCCCAATAGCGAAGTCACCGTAACATGTTACCCTAGTCAGTCGGTCTGACAGCCAAAGCAAAACAAAGTTCCCCTTGAGCAACCTCTTGCTAGCAGAGCGGTTTCTCTCGTACAGCCCCCCTTCGCGCTTTCAAACTAAAATATGCTGGCATGTCTGGCTTCAGTCGCCATTCAGACATGGCCCCCAAAGCTTCCCCAACGTCAAATGCAGCATATTTTACAATAGAGGCTCTGCTCCCGAGCTGCATGCTTGGCAGGCCCGTTCTGTGCAGAAGATCAGTTCTGTGGCACGATGTGGTCCTTTCTCCCCAGTCGTGAGTTTGCACCGGTGGCTTTTGGGTCCTTTCCATGGTTGCAGCCAGAAAAAACATACCACAAGTTCAGGGTTGCTTGCTTAACAAAGACCTTTAGATTGGACAAGCTCCTGCAAGAGGGGGCGATCTCATTTTTATTATCTAATTGGAAGGCCTGCAAAGCCTCTTCCACTTACGGGATTTAACTGTCCTGTTCTTCAACATGTCAGGGTATTATTCACCGAGGAGGCTAACATCCAAGAGGATGCATTTACTGGAAAGTCCTGCATTTTCCTGTTCTTCCCTCCCACCTGGGAGAAAGACAGATGAGGAGGAAAGCTTCCAACTACCCACCCCTTTTATAAAAATAAAAACAAGCCCCTAAAGGTTTGAGTTTCACCTGACATGAGCAGAGCAGTTGGGAGGGGCTTAGCGGACTGTGTAAAGCTGCAAGGGGGTGGAGGTGGCCACAATCAAGAGGTATTTAAGAGGGTGCACACAGAAAGGAGACCCACAGGCAGACACCACCCGCACCTCTGGGGAGTCTCGACTCCCGCATGAATAATCGGGCTTTGAAAGAGAATACAGGAGAGGGGCGGAAAGGAGCTGTCCTTGTGGAAAGTTTCTAGACCAGTGCAGTTGAACTCAAAAAACAAAGAGCGAAAACCCAACTCCTCCGAGGAGAGAGACTAAGAATTTGTCAAGCAGCCACTGGGAGCAGGCAGGGGAAGCGAGCAAGCAAATATGAAGCCCGCATTCAGCTCACAGCTGGCTTGGTTATGTGCACTGACCGTCTTGCTAGCTGCATGCCCAGCGTGGCTGCAGAAGCCCCCAAAGAGGAAAGTGATCAAGGCGAACACCAAGGCCCTGGCCTGCTGCGAGGAGCTGCAGGAGCTGAAGCTGCAGGTGGCCAACCTGTCCGCCTTAGTCGAAGAGCTGAGCAAGAAGCAGGACGACGAGCTGGGAAACGCAATCCTGCAGGTGATGGAACTCGAAGGGAGCGTGAAGCAGATGGACCTGCGGCTCAACGACGTGGAGGGGAAGTACTCCGAGATGAACAACCAGCTGGGCATTGTGCAGCTGCAGGCAGCTCAAACCATCACGCAAACCTCCGCAGGTAAGAGGAGTCTCCACACTCCCCTCCCCAAAGGCACGGCTGAGAAATGCCGGTCCGGACTCCACGCTTTGGGCTCTAAGGCCCGGGAGCGGCATATGATTTCCCTTGGGGGAAATACCATTGAAAAGGTAACTAGAGAAAATGCTCACTTTCGTATTAAACAATCCAAGTTGGGTCTCCCCTGCAACCTCTCCACACACACACACACACACACACACACACACACACACACACACTATCACAACCAGAAAAAATCTGCAAGCAGGAAACAAGAGTCCTGCTCAGCCCTGCTGGAAAAACGCACTTGGTTGGGATGCTTCCCACGGGTTGTCCTCCCCGGGAATCCTTCCCAAGCGCTCCTGCGGGCTCTTAGCCTCTGCCGCAAGTGGTATTTGGCCGTCGGTTTTAAGGTTGCTTTAGTGAGTGCTCTGAAAGATGGTTTTGGCTGCAATCCTAGGCAGAGTTCCTTGACAGCTACGGTAATGCAGTCAGGGCAGGACTCCGAGCAGAAGTCCCGGGCTCCAAAAAGCAGAATGACCAGGAGGGCTCCCAAATACAGCAGGACTTATACTCTGCACTTTGAAGTAATCCGTGCAACCCCTGCCCACCACCCAGCCTGATCCTTACAGCTAGAGACTAAAACTGCTAAATGCAAAACTGGGAAAGTAAATTACACTGAAATCAGCAGGACGTGCCCCTGGGGGAACCTTGCAGCTGCAGAGCCTAAACCTTGAGGCGTTCAAGTACCCCTTATTCAAAATCTCCACTGTTTGAAAACAGGTCGTGAGAAACGGTTTGTTAAAGGTAGGACAGGCACCACCCCAAAAGAAAGGGGCTGCGATCTTAGCGCTTGCTTTTGAGTCCCCTATTTCAAAACCGCTGTTGAATGGTTCCACATACAAAAGTTGCGGTTGATCCACGGCACGGTCCCTCTTCAGAGCATCAGCTTTGGAGTGGGGGTTCAGAGCAGCACATCCCTGCATTTCGACTGGCCTGAAGGATGAAGAGGCATTTTTGCTGTTCTTTAATGGTACTGCAGCCCAGTCCTGTTTATTCAGAAGCAGACAAGCCCTCAAAGCTGCAGGGGAAGACAAGGTGCTTGCCAAATACCTGGGCCCGAGGCGCACTTGGACAATAGACGGTCCAATTAGAAAGACGGCCGTTATCCTGAATACAACTATACACTAAATAGCTTCTTCAGCCTGCTTTAGAGAAGAGCAGTGAGGGCTACAGTCACAATTCTAAACAGGCAGCCTATGAAATAAACAAATTCTGAGCTTCTAGCACGGGTCAAACTCCCTTCCAATACTGCTGTGTAACAGCCAAATCAAAGGCAATGCCATTATTTACATGTATCTAATGAGCCATGTATTGATCTGATACAACAATACATTTCTTAAAGAACCAAAACATCTTAAAGCACTATCATTACCCCAAAAGCCTCTTTGTTAATAACATCAAGGGGATCTTTAGTGATCTCTTTAAAAGTCTCTCTCTCTCAAACTTTAAATATCTTATTTATGATCGCTGCACTAGATTTAGCTCTTACAGAAGTGGCAGTTGTGCGTAGGTCGCACATGACAGAATGCAACTATGCACATGCGCTCGCACTCTCGCAAAGATGGCTACAGACAGAACACTAGCATGTGAGGGAGAAAGCCGCTCCCTGGCATCTGGATTTTCTGCATACAGGGACTTGGATATTTTCATACGGGGAAGATTCCGGCATGCATTTTGACAGAGGATCAATTAGAAGTTTACCCCGTCCGTGAGAACTGAACCTTAGAAGGACTGATCTGCAAGGACTGGGTATGGCAAGAGCAGGGAACACCGGGCTGGGCGTGCAGTGTCAGGAAACCCTTTTCAGGTATAACTGCCGAAAGGAAATCTACCCCCTTGGGGGTTACACGACACTACGCAAGGTGTTTTAGCTGAGGAAGAGGTAGGTGGTTGCAGCAAGGGGGCAGGATTGGGGCACGTGGAAACCTTGCTAGGGCACCACAGTACAATTCCCAGCATTTCTCACTATTGGTTATGTCAGCTAAGGCGCTCCAGCAAGATTTGGACCTACGGTGTGTGGCAGGAGTTAGTCCCCATTTACACAGCCAGTCAGCAACCTCATGGGCTTGTGAGGATAAGTGAGGCTCATGAAAGTGGCTTTGAACGCCTCAAGGGTAAAGAAAAGTGGGATGTAAATTCAGTGATCAAGAAGAATAAATCTGGAGGCCCACATGTTCCCCACCACACATGCAAAATATGGTAACATTAAAATATTTAATACCATTAATTGGCTAGGTTAAATCAAGTAAAAGCCTTGTCGGTCAACTAAAAATCACCCCCATTAAATCAAACATGTTTAATCGGCAAGATGGCAAGCACGCTCTCTGAAGAGGCAGTAGCGAAAATGTATAGTTCTTCATAAAACCGATGTTTCTTCATTTTAATCAAGCCATGAACACTCAACTAATTAAATTGAGTAAGGGCCTTTAATTATGCACTGCACTACTCTTTGCTCTTGAGAGTAGCTGAGAGCAAAGCTGTGTCTTTCCACAGAGACTGTTCTAGAATATATAGGCATATGCGATTGTTTGCTTACCTGCTGGATTGCTCATCGTCTGAAATAAAGAACCACGCAGGCTGCCCTCCCCTGCCTTGTCACCTTGAGACAGTCCTCTAAAATCAGAGACCTGACCTGAAAAATATTCCTCAAACCAGGCCTTTGCATATCTGAACTCTGACTGCATTCACACTAAGGAGCGCCAGCGTCTCCCCTCAAACATGAGTCCCTGTTTGCCTTCCCGATAATTTGGGCTTCCACTTCTATCAGCCTCAAGCAGCCCAGCCAATGATCTCAGCTGGTTCTGTGGTCTAAATCATCTGGAAGACAGGGAAAAGTTGCTCTAAACCAAGGCAACACAGTGAGGTTTTTAACACATAATAAAATAAACCACAATATATTTTATTAGAGTCATATGAAAGCCAAACGGTGGATTTTTCTGAAGCAAAGCAAACAAGTGAACAAAGCAGCCGTGTAAGGACTTGATTACCAAACGCAAAAAAGTCCTAGCTGGCATCTAATCCTTCCTAACAGGTGGAAACATTCACCTCCCACACTCTTAAACCTGTCAGAATAGATAAAAATCCACCTCAGGTACAGCCGCTCCCCTCCCCATGAAGCATGGAAAGGGAGGCCAACAGCTTCCAAACAGGCTGACACAGTCACCTGAGTGAAAACACTGCAGCTTGAACATGGGAGTGGGCCCTGATGCAGAAAATAGACTAAGCACAGTCCAAACTTGTTGGGTGTGCAGACGCGGCTTGTCTGCCCGACTGCACAGTCGGAAACAGGGAGACGAGCCCCCAGGTCTGGCCTTCCCATCAGATCAAGCCATCTGGGTCTGAGTAACGGTGGAAAGCTGCGTATTGTCTTGTTACCTGCGTTGCTGCAATACGTCCGTTATGCAAGAAGAGAGCAGGATGAGGAGAAGAGATCTTACAAGAAATGAAACTCGTCACCTCGCACTCGAAAATGATAGTTCTCATCCCCAGTGCTTTTTAAGGGTTCAAAGGCTTAACTTGTTTGACTCCCAGAATTCCTGACTACTGGGCCTAGGGAGAGGGTATCAGATTGGGGAATGCTTCAAGAAACCCTAAATTGCAAGCTAACACATTATTATACCCATACCGCAAAAGGGTAAGTGTGGCTAACAGCACCTTTGCCAAGGCTACCTAGGGAGTTCGAAACAAAATTCAAACCAGGGATTTCTGAGTTTGTACTCCTCCCATTTCACAGATGAAGGCAACGAAAGCAGAATTGCCTAGGCAGAATTTGAACCATAACTTCTAAAGTTCAGTATTCTAATTGCTGAGCCATACTAAGCTTTTTGCATTCTGCTGATCAGAATCATCTTTTGCTGGCATTTCTAAAGTGGCGGCAATACCATCAAAAATATAAAGGATAACTTTGGAAGGTTTCGCATACACAGGGTTGTGTTCAATAAAATGCAGTACTCAGCACTTAAGAACCCATGACAAGAATGCATGCAGATGAACTGACCTCATCAAATACCACAGTCTCTGCTCCCTTTTCCCATTCACACAGATGCTGTATACGACTGCTCGTCCCTTTATCAGAGGAACTACAGAACCACCGGGGTCTACCGACTCCTCCCTGATGAATTCCTAGGGACTCCAGAACTGCAGGTAAGAAGTCCCAGTGCACACAATCCCAAAACTTTGTTCCTGTTTTCCCCAAGCTGTAGCTGAGAGGGGACGCTTCAACCAAGTTTGAGACAGGTGTCCACAAAATCACACACACATCTGCTCACTTGCTCTGAACCCCAGGGAAGCTGACATCTAGAGATACTGGTACAAAAGCATCTGTTTCTCTACGTGGACCCAACCTTGTGAGACTAAATGTGTCCTACGAACCAAGGAATTCAGGTCTGAAAGAACATGGCTGTAGGCACATTTTCCTGTTTGTGAATTTTCTTCTCTTGGTGCTCAAACTGGTTCTTCTGTGGAGATTTCAGCCCAGCTGCAGCAAAACAGAATGCAAATACTGCTATACTAAACTAAAAAGGGGTTGAACCCATCGGAAGGGCTACAACCCAGGACCGTGTGTTTAGAAGCCCACAGTCTGTGCATGGGGAGATTTCCAGTATTAAATTGTTTCCACTGAGTGTTTTGTACGTGCAGAGTTTTGGAAAATCAGAGATAAACATCTCTTTGGCAATTCATGCCATCTCCGTTGCTATTCTCTCTCTTTAGGTATACTGTGACATGGAGACCGACGGTGGAGGATGGACGGTCATCCAGAGACGCAAAGTTGGCCTGATCTCCTTCAGCCGGGACTGGAAGCAGTACAAACGAGGATTCGGCAGCATCCAAGGAGACTTCTGGCTGGGAAATGAGCACATTCATCGGCTTTCCATGCGCCCAACGATGCTGCGCGTGGAACTGGAGGTGAATGGTGGTGTCGGGGGCTAGGGCTGGCCTTAAATTTACCGTAACATTGAGCATCCTTTCTTTGCCCCCATGAGGAACCTGAGCAGGCTTACATGATCCCGCTTCCTTTCCGTTTTATCCTCACAACAACCCTGAGAGGCAGGTTAGGCTGCAGGGGGATGAGCTGCACAGCCAAGTGCTCCAGACCTTCCGAGCACCAGTCCGGCATGTTCACCGTGGCGGCACAGTGGCTCGTTCGAAAGAGCATTCATGCCAAAGAGCATGGAAGACCTTGGACAGGGCTGGCAGTACATTTGCCTGGAAAAGTAGCCACTCACAGAAGAGCTTGCCTGATTATTTGGCTCCTTTTCCCTCCCGCAGGACTGGAATGGCAACGTACGTTATGCTCAGTACCATCACTTCAGCCTGAGTGATGAGCTGAACAGCTACCGGCTGCTCCTGGACAACTACAGCGGCAACACTCCACACGACTCCCTGCGGTACCACAACAACACGGCCTTCAGCACGAAGGACAAGGACAACGACAAGTGCGTGGATCACTGCGCACAGCTGCGCAAAGGTGAGATGCATGCAGATCCTCTCCCCCACCCTTTCCGAGGCCAAACTGCAGTGGAGCATTGCTGGGGGGAGGGGGTGTTTGCCCCTGGAAAACTTCCCTGCATTTGGCATTAAAAAGGTTTGCTTTCCCCTTCCAGCTGGGCCTCTTGTCCCATCAAGGGACTTCCAGGAGCACAAACTATTCAAACACAGGTTGTGTGCCCCGTGAATATCCTTGTCTCTTTTCTAAGCTGGTCACTCTATAGCAGGGGTCTCAAACTCCACTTACCTGGGGGCCGCTGGAAGTAGAGTCTGGGTGAGGCTGGACCGCGTCAAGTATTCCACCACCGCGGTGGGGGTGGGCCGCTCATCCTGCGTCGTTCCCAGAGGCCGGCCCGGGTGCTGCCAGCGCTTTGAAGGCCGCAGGGCCCCTTGCCCGTCCCGGCAACTGGGCCACGAGTTTGAGACCCCTGCTCTATAGCCAAACATCTAGTACACTACAAAAATCATCCTGTTTTTGAACTTGTGAGCAGAACAGAGAAACGGGGAGGGGGCCTTCCACATTATATAGCCCGGCAGTCATCATTTCCAATAAGGAACACGTGGACAGGTTATTAAAAAAAAAAAAAAAACAGCTCAGCTGTGACCAGTCATGGAACAGCTGCCTGGCGAAGAGAATGCAAGCTGCAGGCAAGGGAGAGTAGGCCTTGAAGCGGGTAAGATCAGTGGGAGAGCGGATGGATGCACTCTCCCGGGTGCAGACAAAGGGGCAGCGGCTTTCCTGCAGGCCAGACGATGTGGCCAATCCTGTCCATTTGGGGTCTTTAGTAGCAGTCAGTGACAGCAGAGGAACCAAAGGGACTTGAGACAACTGTATGGCCCCACGTGCAGCTGAGGACTAGCCCACACCACCGGTTGCTTCGGGGCTACTCTAGCTTCTCCCATCCCTGCAAGGCCTGACATAAGAAGCGGCAGGTGCGGGAAGGTCTGGGGGGGCCACCTGGTGGGGTTTCGCTTCACGGAATGAACCTTGCAGCTCAGATGCTCTGCCACTGAACTATAATCCACCCATGAGAAAAGCAATACAAATGTGTGTGTGTGTGGGGGGGGGGCACAACTCATAACTTACTCCCAATGTGTGCAAACAGTTTTCAAAATGCATGCCAAGGAACCTTGGGGTTCTTCCGTAATGGTGAGCATGCTCTCCTGAAAAACAGTTCCCCAACCAGATTTTCCAGGGCACAAGGCATGTAGAGAGGAAGACAGAGTTCGGCCAGGTCTGAGAGCTTGGCCAGTTCATTTGCTAGGTCCTTTTGGCTCACGTCAACACAGAGAAGGCTCTAACAAGTTAAAGGGTGTTGTAGAAATGCTCTCCTAGGGCAGAGGATTTCACATGCAAATATTTTACCGACTTATTTCTTGCAAGGCGGCTACTGGTACAACTGCTGCACAGACTCCAACCTGAATGGGGTTTACTACCGTAACGGAGACCACAACAAGAGCACGGACGGCATCACCTGGTACAGCTGGCACGGCAAAACCTACTCCCTGAAGAGGGTGGAAATGAAAATCCGCCCTTCGGACTTCAAAGCCCAGGGTGACATCAACAAGTTGGAGTAAGAGGACAGTGACACTACTTTATGGGGGACGACCAGGGAGGGGGCAGACACACACAGACAAAGAGCAACACACAACCACTGATGTGAAGAACAAGGGCCATGTGCAGCAGCTTGTACACCACACACTATCCATGACACAGGCGCCGAAGTCTCTCAAGCCTGTGCGGAAAGCTCCACACCTTTCTCAGAACACTGCCCTCTCCGGCACAATGCCCCGCCTCACCTGGCAGGTTCCCCTTTGTTCTGCTCACAATTATAATGGTAGCATACTCTGCAAGTGGAGAACTTGGCAGGTGGGAGAGCGGGGGGGGGGAGTTAGCTCCCCCCTCCTTTTAAAGCCCACCTTGCAGTTGCTGCCTGCACACACACAGGCATACGGCCAAAACGGGCAGAAAAACCAGGGTAGGAATCGTTAATGACGGAGGGGATGGACGAATGAAGACGGCAGCAGGTGAGAGGTCCCTCTGTAAATCTGCAGAGATCCACATTTTAAGAAAAAGCAAAATCACACTGTGATGTTGAGAAATCAAGGCTACCTGTAGGCCTTCCCATTTTTAGCCAAGGGAACAAGGAGATGTTCCAGAACAGAAATCTTCATTTCTGTATCTCCTTGTTGCTGCTTTGACAAAAGACAACCGCGATCTGAAATAATATCCTGTACATATTGCAAGCCACCCACACCATATTGCACCAAAGGGAGGATTAGTTAAAAAGGAGTAGCTACCAACCACGTCTCCACACTGTGTTGCCAAAGTGCGTTCACAGTTAATAGCTTCATTTTTAATCACTTTTTATTACAAGAGGGATGTAAGCCTAATTTAAAGTTGCTATATTACCAGGAGATGCCAGTTTCCTGGGAAATGCTTGTATATGTTGCACAGCCAAAGCCTGGAACATTACCAGGTGTATCCTGCTGTAATGGAAGCTGTTTGAGAAATGCTCCAAGTGGATTAGTATGTGCTGTAAATCAAAAGAGCGCTCTGTACAAAATTTGCCAAGTTGGTGTTACGGATGTCTTTTTTTTTTCCAAATTCTATAATAAACTCTGTTTTTAAAAATGAGTTTCATGTCTTCATCGAAATACCTAACAAATAGCCTGATTAGGTTCAAATGCATGTACAAGAAGAGATGCCAGGAAAAGCGAATGCGGCATTAGTTTAATGATCGATCTATAATCCCCTGACGTATACAAGAAAAGGGAGCTGAATGTATCAGAGATGGAAAAATGAGAAACATCAAGAATTGGCTTAGTGCAGAGAAAGTTGTCTGATGTACCCTATTAATCGTGTGCGGCTCATTAGCAAATGTACATTAAGCAAGTCTAACTGAATTTCATTGGTTCTTCCAGCCAACTAAGAATTTAGTCCTGCACACACAGCCTTAATTTTGGCTAAACCAGCTCAAGGTTGGTCTGCTAGCACATGCCCCAGCTACCTAAAAAATGCCAATTTTTCTCTGTGTGATTGGGCTTTTAGAGGGAGTTGGACTTACTGTGAAATGCCCTTCTCAGCAGAGAGTGGACCCAAGAGTTAATTCCTCCGGCTCGAGAAGGCGGAGCCAATGAAATTTTATTTCTGCCCTTGAAGGAGCAAACAACCCCCTCACAGTTGCAGAAGTCACCCATAGCGATATAATTCTTTGGAACTACGAACTGAAAACAACTTAGAGAAGATCAACAACTCTTACCAAGGACAGAAAAAACCAAGTGACTGAGCACTGGGCGGGACAGAGGCTGAGGAAGTCATGCCAACCTAAGAGCACCAAGCAAAGACTATTCCTCCCACAGCCATGCACAGCAGGAGGCGTTGAAACTGCAGGGCGGGCCTGTTGGGACCACGCTGATGAGCAGAAGGCCCATCACGGCAATCCAACTTTCCATTCTCAGTCACCAGACCGAGAGGCAAAAGCAGGGTCCCTCCCTGCTGCCTAATTACTCGCACTGCAGTTGTCAGGAGGAGACAGGCAAAAGCACATGGATTAGCCCTAGAGGGAATTATGCACCCCTGGGCACACAGATGCAGCGTGAGAGAGTCTGCATGCAATCCCAAAGAGAAAAAAATAAGGAAAACAACAGAAAAAAAGAGGCTGAGACACGGTTCCTGCTCTGCTGGGTTTGCAGAGGTACTCCCATTTCAAGGGACTCCACTTTTATTCACCTGCAAAGGCCCAACTAAGGCCGATGCTGCAATACTGAAGAGCCCACTTCAAATTAGCTGCTGGATACCAGCAGCCCTTCTGGGAATGCTGTCCGCATGCCTAGGCTTCCCTTCCAGCCTCGCTGGAGCAGCTCAGACCCAGAGACAACACTGTCCCTTGGAGAGGGAAACAGCGACTGTGGGGCAGAAACCCACTGATGTCTGGAATATCCCCAAGGCAATAGGCTGACGCAGCCCTCCAGGCAGAGCCCCTGCTCAGTGGCACAGCCTCGGCTTGGCAGATAGGCAGAAGTTTAATTCCCGACATCTCCAGGGAGGGCTGGGGAGAGAATCCTGTTTGAAACACAAGAAAGCTGTTGCCATTCAGCTTTACGGAGCTAGAAGGATCAAATCAGGCAGCTTCCTGTGGCCCAGTGGAAGCGGGGGAAAGGAATCACGGGCAGGCAATGCCAGTCTTCAGGGGAGTGGGAAGAGAAGACTGGAGTCAGGTGGGGCTGGGGAGATAAGCTACCCTACCAGATAAATCAGTGGGACAGTGAACCTGGCGATTCACCCAAAGCTGTCATCCTAGGAGAGAGGCACTGCCCTTCTGTCACTTGACCGTGATGCAGGATCCTCAGTTTATCACCAGACACTCGGCAATTGTTCTGTGGCGAAGCAGCATTTCCATCAAGGATGTAATGGGCTACCACAACAATGCAATGTGGTTTCTATCACAGGGAAGTGCTTAAATATTTTCAAGGTGAAAAGCACAGGGAGCAGAGGACAGAATTGCTCACAGCAGGCCACAAGCAGGAGCAAAAGAAAAAAGAAATTTCTAGCAGAAAGACGCTTCATTTCTATTATACTTGGACACAGGCATTTGAGTACCCGATGATGGTATTTTGAGACAGAGGGAGGGTCAGTTCTGGGAGTTTTTACAAGCTTAAATTGTGCTGAAGCCTCAACAAATCGCCAAACTGCTATGATGTGGGAGTTCAACTTAGAAAACTGCACTGGTATTTATGGTATTTGTCTCTGTGTTCTAAAAAGGCATTAGCAAATGTCTCTTACATAAGAGCTCTTGAAAGTCATTTAATACTTTGGCTAGAGAGGACCTACTAAGGGGGAGACCTCTAAATGCCAAGAACGGCCTTTTCTAAGTAGGGAAAGGGACAACTCAAGAGCTGCACAGCATTTCTATATTCAATATGAAGGAACAAACTCAAGGATAAAAGGGTTTCTCTACGTCTCCCTTTATACCTTAAATCAGAGGGGTGGGGAGGCTGAAACTCTTTCAGCCCAACAGCTGAAGACCATTTTGGAAAAGCTCTTGGGACCCATTCCCAAGAACGGGATGAGGCCAAGAGTAAACCAGGTGGGACCAAAAGATTGCCAGAAGGACTTTAAGCTAAAAGTTCTTTTGGCCATAACTGAGTCTTAAGAGGATTTTACACTTTTAGAATGGGAAGAAACATTTTAAAAGCCAGGAAACCACCAAATAATTGGTGTTTGATGGGGAGAAGAAGAGTGGCCCTCTGGTGAACCCTGGAGAACTGGATCTGGCCTTCGTAACTGAGGTTCTGCACCACTGCTTCAAAACAATAGAGCACAACATTGCTAGCTTTACCGACCATTTATGACTACACATAAACATTTTAACTGCAAATAAACATCCCACAGAGTTATTAGATTAACAAAAGGAACAATGTGTGTGTTATTTCCCCCAGTTCGAAAACAGAAAGTCAACTTTCTTATTGCTTCTAACATCACTTGTGTCGGGCTTTCAAGACATGGATAAAAGACACATTGTTGACTTGCATGCAGAGACAACTTCAGAATGAAGATCTGGGGGTGCGTGTCTGGGGCTGAAACGCATGTCCAGCGGAATCTGATGGACTGTGCCAGACTCCAGTGGACTCCCCGTGTGATGCAGAGATCACAGACAAGAACGAGAGAGAGGCAATGACCAAGCAGGCAGCAACAGTAAAGCAGAAGAACTCCTCCTCTGTGGGACTCCTTTTGGGTTGTGGGCCCTGGCAGAAACCCAACTATCCCTGCCCTCACAGGCCGTACAAGTGGGTCTTGCTGTCTTCCCACAGTAAGTGCCAGAGCAGCTCAGGGATAAAGATGCATGCGCCTGCCTTCCCCCACACACTGAACACGAAGAGCTCGGGCACATGAACAAAACCATGCAAAGCAAGGGACACCGCTTGCTCGAGCGCTTCTCGGAAGTGATTCGGCGTCATGTCCCTACCTGATGAGAGACTCCAGGATTGCGGGAGTCGGGCCCTTCTGGAATTCCAGCTCTTTGTAGTGCAGTGCCTTGGCGTACGCCCGACATTTGGCAGCCCGCTCCCCCAGCAAGACGATGCCGTTGTCGTCGCCCAACGGCAATGGTCCCTGCGGTGGAAGAGGCGAGGCAGAGTGTCAAGAGTCAGGCCAACCGAGAGTAGGCCACAGGGGCAGAAATAAAAGACCGTGAGAGGGACCGGGTCAACCACCAGTCCGTTTGCTGAACCGAGACACAGAAGCCGGCAAGCAGACAAAGGCAGGAGAACCAGGACCGAATGGCACAGCAGCAGCCCCCCCCCTCCGTCACCCCACTTGCAGTAGGCTGGGTGTACAGAAGCAGGGCTCCCGGGACACCTCCCTCGCCAGGCACGAAGAATTAACCCAGGGAAATCAGGGCAGGTGAACTAGTAAAATTGCTCATGGACTAGTGCCTGTGCACAGACTTTCAAGACTGGAATAAGCAGCTTCTCCCCCCCACCCCCCGCCCTTTCAACCACTCCCTGGCTTCCTGGAAGGTCCCCCCCACAGTGGCCATTACCTTGTCACTGTGCTCCATGAACTCGGCCAGATTCAGCAGGGTCTGGGTGACCTCCGCGATATCCTGAGAGGTCAGGGCCAGCTCGATGCTGCGGATCAACTCATCCTGCTGGTCTTCGTTCAGTTCAGACCAGCACGAAACAAAAGCTGCATTGAAAAGATCTCTGCGGGAGGAGGGCGAGGAGGAAAGAAGAGCAAAGTCAGAACAAGGAAGCCCGTGGTATCGTCTGCACCACCCCCATGGAACTGCCTTTCCCGTGTCCCAAACTTGGGGTGGGGTGGGGTGGGGTGGGATGGACGGGGCCAGGGCTCCGTGGACGTGCAGTCAGCAGTGACAGGAGCAGGGCCCAGTCCTGACAGCCCAAGAGGCCCTGTGGGGCACCACCCTCCATTCGCTTGCTTGGCCTCCGGCGACGCTTGTCCTCTGAAACTTGCAAGGGTCCTGTCTTGGGCTGCAACAAGCAGCCCAGGGCCATGGGGATAGGGGGGTGCAGGACCCCGGCAATGATGCTGAGCAGCGGCTGAAGGTGGCTCTTTGCAGTCGGCAGCAAGTGGTCGGGAGAACCAAGAGCTACTGCAGTCGCTTGCACACTTCAAGGACAGGCTGGACGTGCACATGGTGGGCATGTCATGAGTGGAGCCGGCTGGAGCCGGGGGTCAGACTAGATGGCCCGGGAGGCCCCTTCTGACTCGCTGTGCTTCTATGTTTCGTTGGCTGAGTGCCGTACCGTTCACATATTATACTGGGCTGCCAGTCTGCGACTGAGCTAGCTTTGAGTTGTTGGTATTGTACAATACCAGACAACACTCCCCATTCCAACCTCCCCATCCACTATAGGCTTCAGCGATGCGCTGCTGTTTGTGCCATTCATTGAAAGCTTATTTGTTTCTTCTGACTTATCCAAACTCCATTCAGAAGTTATCTTTGTACTAGCCTCATGATGCTATTTTATATGGGGTAGGGAAATCTTTGGATCGATGCCTGCTTTTAATTCTTTTGTAAACAGCTTTTAGATTTGTTTCAGATAAAAAGCAGCATATCAATACTGTACGTAAATAAAGGGGTTGTTTTATAGGCTCCTGCGTGAACCAAATGATTGTCCTGCCATCTCAAATACAAAGGCTCTCTCTGGGAGACACAGGATTCTTCCTCAAAACTGCCTTCTTTGTGTAAGATTTAGTCAAAATAAAGAACGGCCCCTCCTTCCCACAGGCCTAAGCACATGCTAACAATCACTGCCCACCAGACACAGCATCAGCCAGGGTTAATTACAGTGACGATTTTATATAAAGGACTATTTGAACTGAGCAAACACCACCTGCTGTTTCAGCACTCTATCTGCAATTGATATTAGTCTCAGAGATCCAACGGAAAAGCCAGTGTATTTCTTGGAACACGACTAGCTCTAAGAAGCTAGGAAGGAGCTTGCTGAATGACTAGAAGCTGGGATCCAAAACCACAGGGACAGCAGGATTACAGCCCGAGCAGATGCAGAATCAGTGGTGGATAAAAGAAGGTGGAACAGGCACAAGGTTATCCAGGGACACAATTAGGGATACAAGGCACTTTTGAAAAGAAAGCGTGGAACAGGCCACAGGGGAAGGCGGCTGCTGTTGTGCTAGCTCTGGGTTCACACAGTACCAGAAGTTTGCCTTAAATGCTTGCATTATGTAAAAATGGAACGTGCAAAATAGACACACACCGTTTATTGAGATGGGCCCCAGGGCACTGACTGTCCCCCATGGGATAATATAATACATTATACTTTAAAAAGAGGGCCAAATAAGAATACTAAGTTAATAAACTAGACAGACTCCTGAGCCAATTCGGCTGCACTCCTCTTTTGTCCCTTCTGAGCCACTCACACCGGAGAACAGTAAGCCATCCTGAGCCATTTGTTGGAAAGGACGGGATTTAAATGTTTTACATAAATAAATAAAAACAGGAGTGTCATAGTGGCGCTCTCAAGCGTGAAGCCGGGTTGACTGGCCTGTACTAGAACTCCTCATGGAACATGTATACAACACGTTGTTCTCCTGGGAGACTGTTTCACTTATCCTAAGAGAACTAAATCAACTTCATCTGGATTAGAATGCTAAATCTTAGAAATGCTGGAAATTCTAATCCCAAAGACAGACAGGGTGGCTTAAATCATAGTTCTGACTTTCTTTTTTCTTTTTGCTCCTCCAATCCCGCCTGCCACACACATGCAGTTAAGTGTGTATTGTGCAACAGTCTTCATGTTGGCCAACAACCCACAACTCAATTACTAGAGGAATAAAACTAGAGAGAAAGGGATTGTTAATGATTGGTGTTGTGAGTTATTCAATGTTAGGTATTTGACAGGTTTTGCTGGTGCCCCATTTTTTTCTGCAAGCACAAAAGCAGATTTGAAATGCCTCGACCTATTTTTCAAAAGCTCAAATATATGAAGTTTTCTGGACACTTGAAGCTCAGGGCTTGTTCATGTGACAAGCCTCTCAAAGTTGAGAAGCTGCTAATGGATTTAGGATGGACCTATGCTTTCATACCAGACCAAAGTGAAGGTGTCCTGTTTAACCTACTGAAAGAACAATTAGCAGCTTGCTGCCACATCACAGAAGGCCCAAGACCTGGCTTGTCTGGGCAAGAGCAGAAGTTATAGCTTGCTTTTGTCACTGAAAAGAGCCTCTTTTTTGGAAATACAAGGACCTACAAACTAATTTCACTATTCTCTTTCAAGCAGTGTTTCTCATTTGCTGTCACACGGTAGAAATACCAACAGACATATTAACATTTTGCATTTTCCTGCTTTTGCTCTAAGAAACACATCTCAAATAACTCCCAGTACAGGAGGTGTAGGGGAGAAGTTAATAGTGACATTAGCTCCCCCAGATGCTTTTCTTTTTGCCCCCGATAGCCAATTGATTGCTGTCGTCCTTCTGTTTCCACCTCTCGGTGGCTGGTGTGTGCAGTTGGGGTACAGTTCCGAGAGGTAGGAAGAGCCCTTACCTGGCCATGGGGTTGTACGCCTGAGCCAATGCCCAACACGAGCGCAGCGATGGAGAGGAGGAATCCTTCAGCAATTCCAAACTCAGCCGTCTCAACCACTCCAGCCAATCGTCCTTGGAAACTCTCCGGGCCGCTCCCCAAGCCTGAAGCAAAAAGGACACTCGGGTGGATTGTGGAAGCCCGTTACACAAAACGGCACGACACTACTCTTCGCTTATTAAGAGCTTCACACAAAGTCCTGAGCCAACAAACAAATCAAGACAGGCTACAAGTAGCGGCTTGCATGGATCAGCCACAAGTATCCTCTCAACCAAACTGGAGGTCTTTTCTTCTTCTTTTGAAAGTCAAGGTTAGAGAGGGAGCTCTGCATGCAGAAATTGCCAGGCTTACTTCCTGGCACTCCCACCTTTGAAAAAGGAAAAAAGGGAGCGGGAGCAGCAAGTGGTGGGACTGACCAGCCTAGAGCCCCCCCGATGCGTTGGGCTGCAACGACCTTCAGGCCCAAGTGCCAGAACTCCTGGCTGCTGCAGCCCAGAAGTCATGAGGATACCAGCTTTGGGGAGACTGGAGCAGAGCTCTGCCTGGGACCCCCGATAGAACTGCTGCTAAGCCCAGAGGGGCGAAGCGGAATCCCTTTCATCCTGAGGGCCAAGTGTTATTCAGTGAAGCCCGGGGGGGGGGGGGGGGGGGTTCACATTCAAGGGACCAAAACACCAAGAGGCCGGTAAGCATGATTCCACTTCAAGCTCCTACTACCAGGAACAGTGACTTAGCAGAGGCATTCTGATTCTTTAGGAAAGGGGGAAAAATAACAACACAAGATCCTGGAAACTTCCATACAATCTGTCCGAGGGAAAGGGGGAGCTGCTATGCACCCCTGGAGGGCCAAACTAGAACCCTGAGCCCGAGTTTCTTTTCCCCCGCTCCCCCACCCCCCCCCCCCACACACACACACACCCAGGCAGGTTCCTACACCTTTCACGGTTCATTTGGAAGAGTGAGTCACAAACTGAGCCACTCCTCTTTTAGGTCTAGCCGGGGGGTGTGCTTTGATCATGCCCACTTGATGTAATTGCATTAATACACAGGCAGGAGCGACTGCAGGAGAAAAATGTCAGGCATGGCATCTAACTCCTGAAAACTAGCAATTCTCCCTGCTGGTGCCCCAGAGCCCGGGAGGGCTGCTGCGCAGCTGCCCGTCATAAAAATGGGGGCAAGAGGGGGATCCTTGGCTGCAAGCTCGGTTCGCAGGGACTTGCTAGGAACAGCTCCCCCAGCGCAGAAGCCTCCCGATTCTTCTAGCCTGTTCACACAGGTAGGGTTATCACTGGATCGCTCGTCATGCAGGGGCAACAGCCCAGTGGAGCACAGGGACCGATTTCCTAAGAAAGCTCCACACCTAAAGCGAGGCAGACGCTCATTCTGCTGCCTGTGACCTGCAGCGGCCCATTCGCACATGCAAGTCACCACCGCCGTGTGCCACTCGTTCAACGAGCCAGCATGTGCAGCCCGCACTTGGCACTTGGAAGTTGCCTGCGGCGTGTTCAGCCGGGCCTTGAAGCCTGCGGGGAAACGGGCATCCCAATACCACAGGAAAGGTCCGATCGTCAGCGTGGGCACGGCCCATTTGCACAGGACCAGCTCGCCCCTACCTTCTGCAAGTTGATGGTGCTGACGTGCAGCTTCTTCATGGGGCCGGTTTCCACAGGGCCACTGGCCAGCGCTTCCCCTTGGCTGCTCCTCTGCACACGGTGCTGGTAGATCAGAGGGTCCTCTTCTTCATCCGCAAGCGTGTAGCCCTAATTCAGAGCAAGGCTCCCGTTACCCTTATTGGATGTTATGAGATGTTTTTTTCAATTGCTCTTTTAAATTACCGTAAGCTGCCCTGAGATGTTTATATAAAGAACGGCATACAAACGTTTTTAATAATAATAATAATGATACCCAAGGACCCCAGGCCTGCAGTGCTCCACCCCATGCTGACTAGAGCCCCTGCTGGATGCTCACACCCCCTCATGCCAGCAGCAAAGCAGGGGAAGAAAGGTACGAGGGCCTAGGTTGTTCCGCCCACATGCCAACAACCTCCCAGGACAAAATGAAACGTCTGGTCATAGTCAACCCGAAGGCAAGAGTCTAGAGAAGCCCCATGCCTCGAACGAACCCCGCACCCTGCCCTCGCTGTCTTATCCAAATCCGTCAAAGCTGACCTTCACGATCCTACAGATGAGGACGTCATAGCGCTGGTGGTTTATCCTGTGACGGACCAACACCTTGTTCACCATCGGGATAAAGATCTGATACTACAGATGGGAGAAAGGACATTATCACAACCTAGACCAAAGCTACCAGCAACCCCAAACACACAGACAATCTTCCAAATAAGCAAGGAACTATTCAGAAAGACACATATTATTCCAGGAAAGAGAATTACAAGACCGCTAGATATTCTGGCCTGCAACTCCCATCATGCCTAACCACTGGCTAAAGCTGACAGGAGCTACACGTCTGGGTGGCAGAGGGCACCCATATCCAAATTTGAGGATGAGAGACCCATTCAATATTCTCTACCCTTCCAAAGGGAATTCACTGCAGGATATTGCGCTGGAAACATGTACACACCTACGTGTGTGTGTGTGTTTTACCTTCTTCCCTAGTTGGAAGACAAGGGACGACAGCGTGTCCATGGCAGTTGTCCGAAGCTCCGGGCTCTGATCCAGAGTCCGCACTATGGGGTGGATAATCCGGGAGGCATAATCAGTGAAATCCAGAGACTCCGTCAAGCGATCCACCGTTTCCAAGGCAGCTCTAATGGAAGGTCAGGGAGAAAAGGAACGAAGCATTGTGAGCGATACAGAACCAGAGGACTTGCACAGATGCCTGTGGTCCATACAAGAGGCAGCCCGTCAGAGGAACAGAAGGAAGTCAACTCTTTTGGGATAAAGCAACTATTCGGGTTGTGCCAACCACATGTCAGCAACCTACTCTTCCTCCAAGGAGGGTGGCAGCATCGTGAAGTTCAGATCTAGAGAGGTACAAAGAGGTTGGGATGAATAACCTCTCTCTTCTTGGAGGAGGAGTAGGTACCCGTCCTTTTCTCTTTGTCCTTCGCAATCGTTTTCAGTGAACACCGCAGCAGTATGGCGGTCACTCTCTTTCAGCCTCTGTACCGCTATAACGCTGTGCCGATTCCCTTCGCTGTGCACGACCACAACTTCTGGCAACAAACACTACTTCCCCGTTTGGTAGGAAGGAAGAGCGCACCAATGGGGCAGGCGGGGTTCTATTGGGAGCGCACAAGGGGACTAGCTTGGGGCAGGAGTGGGGGGAGAGACTGAGGCTTACTTGCGAGCAGATATCGGGGCATCTGGGGCGTCAAAGAGCTTTACAATGGGAGGCAGTAATAAATGCAGGTAGTCATCCAGATTGGCTCCAAAGAGCTGAATAGCGTTCAGCAGCTGCAAAAACGAGGAAACATTCATTACAAACAAGGGCCGGCTTTCAAGCTCAACCACAAGTGTGCTTTCAAGAGAAAACACCCTTTCACTCTTAGATTATTTGTTCCAATGAATGTTATGAGTAGGCCAATTCCCCGCCCTACCTCTTTCCCAGAGTATTTGGGAAAAACTAGGATAACATCACACCCCTGAAAACAATACTCCTTGGAGGAAAACAGACTCCAGGACATTCAGTTTTTATGAATAGTACACCACACACACACCTTCCTGGATTCTTCCCATAAGGACAAAAAAAATAAAAGCACTGAATATCCAAATGTATCCAAGGGAACAGAAGAGCATTTTAAAATTAAGGTCTCCAGAAGAAAGCTGCCACGGGCCAGCACCACAACTCTTCAATCCCGGGAGAAGGCCAGAGCTGCTGGCTCAGGAGATGGACAGCCACGGAAAGCCATCCCGAGACGTCCGTCACGGAAGACCCCGTGAGCTGCTCCCCTTACTCCAGAGGAGGTAGCCCAGAGCTGCCTTCCAGAGCATCAGCAGAGCCCACCACAGGAGACAAACTGAAGCCGATCAGCTGAACCGCCTGCGAAGCTCCCCACAGCTGATCCGCCGGGGCACCAGCCCGGCCCTCGGCTTCAGCACTGCCGCGACCTGCCTCGGCAGGTGGCACGGACAACCGGCCCGGAGGATCGCTCGGCTCACCTTGGTCGAGACGTTGCGGGTGCTGCTGCTGTCATGCATAAAGAGCCGCAGCATGTGAGGGATGAGCTGGGGAAGGTACAGCTTGAACTCCCCACCCAAAGCCACCACAATCTGCTCTATGAGGAGGATAATGGTACTTTGTATTGAATTGTTCACAACCCAGAAATCCTGGAGGGAGAGAGAGAGAGGGAGGGAAGCTGATTTCGAGAGAGCCCTATTTCAACACAGCTACAGAAGGCCGCAAGATACCTCCAGCCTTCCAACATTTAAATCCCATGAGCCGTTCTGAAAAAGATGGACTCTTCGCAAGCCTCAGAAGGACATGTATCGAGCTATGCAAAGGACCCTTATTTCAAATAACCAACAGTGTTGCGGCACCGTAAAAGACTAACGCATTTCTCTCAGCACAAGCTTTTGCAGACTCTGCTCCCAGCAGATGCATGGCTTCAAACAGCACTGCAGCGTGGCAAGGGAAACCTCATTTAGAATCGTGAGCTATATTACTGGGTTCAACGCTAAAAAAAATCCCTTTGAAAATAGAAGCTTCAAGGAAATGAAATGGTGACATCTTGGAATATAATCTTTCCCCTGCTTCTCAGCTCCCCCGGTTTCATCAAAGGGTTTGCCTGTTAATTCAGACGGCAGGGAGGCTGCCAGAAGGACCCCGACGCACGATCACGTCTCCCCTAGTAGTTTTGGCGGGTGGGGGGGGGCAGGTGGTGTTAAGCAAAATAAGCCATGTTTGGTCTGGAAGAATCAGCAACTCGGTTGTCTTTTTTGGAGCAGAACACATAAAAACAGCCATGTTTAACTCTTTATGGAAGTCAGCCTTCACCTTCTGATACATAATAATTGGATCAAAGGGAAACTGGACTTAATCAGCCATGAAAGTCTGCCTTAAACAATCTGTTCCAGATTAATGCTTCCCCTGTAAACTCTGAGGAGGGAAGGGGGGGTGTGCGCCTGCGTGCGCACAGAGAGAGGGAAATGTGGGTTTTCAGTCTCGGTTCTCCCATTCATGAAATACTAACAAGTATTTTTGGGAGAGACTTGTCTGCGCCCCCTTCCACTTGAGAGGCTCTCAAAAAAAAAAAAATGAGAAATGCCATTTATTGTCCCCAAGCCCTCTCTGTGCCAGGCTACAACAACCCAAAGTTCCCACGTCCACCGGATTGTTATACTCACTCTCATGAGGGTGACGATTTCATCCATGTACGGTCTAATGTGGCTTCTCACAAAAGACACCAACATTCCCAGCTGCTGGAACAGGAACTGGGGGGGGGGGAAAGGTTACAGAAAAGCAAGTGACGACGAGGCAGTCTGCATAACCTCTGTTCAGATGCTTGTACCAAATGGACACAGAACAACGATGGTATGGCTGTAAGCCCAGGGTTAGAGGGTTTGCAGCATCTCACAGCCGTTCTGACAGTCTGCCGGCCCTCCTGTGAACGCTGCAAGATCCCCGGAGCATGCAGCAGAGACACATCCAGGCAAGCACGGCCGCAAAGGTAGTGAGACATGCGGGTGACTGACAGGAGATGGAGCGCCACGGAGCACTGCCCACTCACCTTCGGGGCTCTGTCCTTGCCTCACCTGTCCGGCCAGCCAAAGCCAGGTTGCTCTTTCCTGGGAGCTAATACAGATGCCCCCCCGTCTCGCCGCCTCTAAGGGCTTGTGGGAAGATTCAAGGGCAAGAAGACATACTCACGAATTGAGAGAGCTCAGCTCTAGGCCACAAGCCAAATTATCAAGGCAGGCAGCGGGAATGCAGAATCTTTTGGGTAGTTCATCCACACGACGCAAAGAGGGAAACCAAACTGGGACGGTGAATTTCACAGGCAGAAATGGGAAAATGGCTGCCTCGGTGGGAAATGGCCACTGACTAGGGAAAGGTATTCATTACCGTTTCGATAAGCATTTCCAATCTATCCAGAGATAACTAGACACGTGTTCCTCCACAGCGGTGGAGTGGGGCACCCAGGGAAAGACAGCTTCTGTATCACCAGGAGCCCAGTGACGCTTCCTTGTGAGACCCTGGTCGGCAGCAGCTGCCACATGCGTGGCCACGGGGGGAGGAAGGCAGCTGGCCCCAGCGTTGGCTTTGCTCTGTGCTGAAGAGCAGCTGGTTAGTTACACGAGAGGAAGTGAAAAGCGGCGTCGATGGGCCGAGAGTTAACTAGGCCCGCAGTGACTCTTGTCCTCCAGAAAATCATCTAGGCATAAACCCAAGTGGGGTGCTGCTTCTTGGGGACTGTCACGAGATGGAATATGGGGAGAATCTGTATTCTCTGCGGGAAATACATCCTGCTGAGTAATGTCGGAGCATGTAGCTGCTTTAGAAATAAAATGGTTGAGAGTTGTTTCATATAAGGAAGTCCAATCAGGCTATTCCTCTTGCCTGATTGCCTGAGCAGCTTTGACGCCATGGAATGTTCACGGCTATTCCAAATGCTCAGGGGAAGGGAAGCGGCATCAACAACTGGATTTTAACAGTACAGCTTTTCTCGTTAGAGTTCACTGGGGAGGAAGAACAGGGAGCGGCAAACACGGTGCGGGTCAGGCAAGCGAGGCAGAGGATGGGAAAGTCAAAAGCACAGAAGCCGGGTAATGTTGTCTCTGTGTTGTTCCTTCCTTCCTGGCAGCAAAAGGACAAGGTGGTGTGGCAAGGATAGAACTGTGAAGGCTTGAGAAACACCAGAATAACCCAGGGAGGGAAATTAATCAGTTTAAATCATTCTGGTTTCCCTCTAGTTTTTCTCCCCTGGATGCTTCCCCCTAACATCTCTACTGAATTTCACAGAATGATTAAGACTAGCCATCTATAATTAGACCTGTGAAACTCTTGCTTGTTTATATTTATCAATCCGTAACCTGAGCTCTCGACACAGTGCCTTGGCCTGGGGACAGACTGAGGTGCTTCATACAAGAGATCCCTCGCTTGCGTGTTTCACTCCCACTTGTACCCACCTCAGCTCTTCTCCCCAGTACACTGTCACCATCTTCTTTTACCTGAAAATTTTTAAACAAAGTAGGCAAAAGTGCGTCGTTGTCAAGGGAGTCAGATCAAGCGAGGTCCAGATACTCAACAGCACTAAGTGGATCTGAAGGCAAACTCTGATGCTCTAAGGGGTTTCTGTTCTGAGACACAACAGCCAGGGGCAACTGGATTTCCAAGAAAGCAACTTAACAGCAGCTGACACCAAAAAGTGCACCCGACATAGGGGAAGCAACTCCGGGGAATGCCGTATGCCCACCTGGTCAATTTTGCAAAGATGGGCCACAATCCAGAGGGCATCAGGTGTGCCGAGACCCCACAGCCTGCACTGCAGGGCTTCTAGGTTTGACTTTCAGTTTGAGGGACTTCCATGGGACTTGCAGTGGGAAATCAGACTTTCTGCCACCGTGTTTTATTACTGCTACTGCAGCGCCGTCAACATGCCCACAAACAGCCCGGGACTTGAGGGAGTCTCTGATGCAATGGCTGCTCCGATTCAGACCTTTACTGAAGATCGCTAATTGAGTGGGATAATGACTGGCGGGGGCCAGAGTGGGGTCAAAGGGCACCCAAAGCTGGGGGAAATTTGGCCCACATGAGGCAGCAGCCCTCCTCCCCTTCCAATGGCAGCGCAACAACGAAGCCAGCGCAGGCCTGTCTGAGGCCCGTGACAGGACAGGGGACACGGATGCCCGCGCAAGCCATGCACACCCTGCCAAGACGTCACGTTTCCCAAGGCAGGAAGGTGCATCCCGCCTGACAGCGCTTGCCCGAGAGCCGAAGGCCACCGAAAGTAATGGACTTCCTAACAAAGCAGCAACTAACGGCCTACATTCTTCCGAGAGAAATGCTCGGACAAGCAGGAGAGAGAGGCGGTCACTCACGGTTGCAGTGTGCCTGGAAGCAGGGACAACGCAGCAGTGCTCCAAGCGACAAGGGACACGGGGGGGGGGGGGGGCGGGGGCGGGCCCCGGGGGGGGGGGGGGGGGGGGGGGGGGGTGCTGAGGCGGGTCCCGGCTGCAGGGGAGGCGCGGGGGGAGCCGCCCAAGGGGGCACTCACCTCGCGGATGGCCCCGTCACACACCCGGATGACGTTGAGGAAGGTCGGCATGACCTGAGGCAGGAAATGCACGCACTTGAGGCCGAGGGACTTAAAGATAAAGGTGATGGCTTGGACCACCATAGTGTGGTGGTGGGACAAGGACTGGTCCCGGAAGATCCTCATGAGGGCCACCATCGAGACGGCCGGGTAGAACTCGTCCAGTGGGAGGTTGCCCATGTTCACCAGCATCTCGCTGGTGCTGTAATCGGCTGAAACGGAAGCAGAGTTCGTGCTGTGCAGGCCAGGAAGGCGGGAACTCTGTGGCAGAGCACCCCCCCCCCGGGCCCGCGGGAGGTCCCGGTTCAATCCCCAGCACCTCGCGACATGGCTGCAAAAGACCCCAGCTCGGAACCCTGTGGGGCAACAGATGCAAAGCTGGTGTCTCGGCGTACGGCAGCTTCCTAGGAGCGGACCAACACTGAGACGCTCCTAAGGCCACAGAATAAGTGGCGTGGGAAAACTCGGAAGGAAAGCTGTGCACCAAGCACAGGACTCGGAGAGGTCCGCAGGCTTACTCTCCCACAACCGGTCACACTTTCCGTTCCTCCACTCCTAAAGCTTTTCTGGCCAGCCTTATAATGAGGTAAGTACCCCTCCACATCCTATTCAACTCCCATTCCCTTCATTTAGAAGTACAGGCCTCGGAATATCTCTGAAACTGAATTTGACCTTGAGCTGGAAGAGGTCCCCCACCTCTGGTTTAAAGCATTCTCCTTCCATCCCGAAAACTGATGACTGTTGCTTTTTAGCTCACAGAAAAGCTTACAGGCACAGCTGGAGGGGAAAAAACTCATAATCCCCCCTGCTTACATTGGCTCCCTTCTCTCCCATTGCCTGCATCCCAATCCTGGCATTCTATACAACGTTTGCTTCCAGAAGCAAGAGTGACAAGACCTTAATTAGGAACCATTTACAGATTTAATTTCAGGGGTTCAAATCTTGACCAACGGACTTACTACACTTCCTCCTTCATAGGAGAGAAGGAACTTGACGTTAAGAAAAAAATAAAATCAAAGAACTGGCTGATGTGCACATCTGGCAGACACAGGCACACCCCACCAAAGAGTCTCACACCTTTAAACTTGCTAACTCAAGAAACAGCTTTGCAAGGAGACCATGCGGGACGGGAAATTGAGAAAAGAAAGCTGCCATGTGCTGACCCTTTCATGGGCACCTTCCCCTCGAAGATGAAATCAAAGCCTAAATGTACTTCCTAGACAACCAGTTGCCCCTCTTTTCAAGAATGGGAAAGTGATATTGTTAAATAAATGGGGCAACTGTTGAAGCATTCCTCAAACCAACTCCCAAGGAGAAAAATCTGCCTGAAACGTCTCGCTCCCAAGTGCTCACGCACCCCTGGAGCAGAGCTTAAGGGAAGGCTGTCCGTCTGGCTGAGAGGCAATGCTTCACCCAGTAAAGGGATGCGGTCGAAAACCCATCAGAACTGCTGCCAGTCCCGTGCTTGTGACAAACCCCCTTCTTGGTCTACTCACAGGAATCCTGGCTTGATTTCGACTCCGAGAGGCTGACGGCCGAAGCGTCCCGTGACTGGTCTATCATGCCAATGTTCACCTTGTGCTTGTATGGGTCCAGAGCCCCCAGGAGACCAAGGACCCGTATGGCCTGACAGGAGGAAGAGGAGGAGGAGGAGGGAAAAAAAGAAGGGCAGTGTGTTTTAAAAAAGTTTTAGTGCTGCCAAAAGGGGCAACATTGCTATACAATCTTGGAACAAGAATTGTGGCGGGCCTGACGCTCCCAAGAAGCAAGTTATTGCTTCACCTGTTCCTGTCACAATAGATCCTAGGGATCTGTGGACAGAATTTGGCCGAAGGTGAAAATTGACTGGAGCAGCAGCAGCAGCCGGCCCTCTGGCAAGCAGCCTGCTGGCAGCGAGTAGGACCAAAGCCCGAGTGGGCAGGAGTGGAGCAAAAATGAGTGAGCCACCCCCTTTCGGACCCCTGCCCCCATTCTCTCCCCCCCTGCTCTTCCACGCAGTGGGCTGCCAAGGGAGGCATCCATCGCCCCTGTTAGAGGTCAGGACAAATCACACTCCGCTACTAAGTGGAAAGGGTCCAGGGGCCACACATGGCCCTGGGGCCCGGAGACAGCCCACCTTCCTGGAACGAAGGCCTTTCCTGCACCTCTGAATGAGTCTGGCAGGTGGCGGGACTAAACCCAGGTGAGAGCATCCTTCCATCCATCCCCCTTTGGCACTCAGTGGAGAGAATTCTGGTCCTTGTGCTAGGAAGGGAGCCACGGATGCCAACCTCTCTCCGGGTGCCCTGGTTCTGCTCCGTCTTCAGGAAGTTCAGCAGCACCTCCAGGAGAGTGGGGTACTTCCTGTAGGGCTCCACCACGTAGCCGGTACTGGCCACCAGCTGGCCCAGTGTCCAGAGCGCCACCTGCAAGAGAGGCGGGAGAATTCTCTTGTTCAGTTCCTCCGTGAGACTAGCCCAGGACACCGAGCCTCCAGCTCCCCAATGCTGTTGCACTACCATACCCATCACCTTTGAGTGCTGGCTGCAGCTGATGGGAGTTGAAGTCCAACATCACCTGCAGGGCCACAGGTTCACTGACCCTGTTCGTAAACTAATAATACCGAGAAGCAAGAACGGGCAAAGTCACAATTTCCAAGGAGATGGAATTTTACCCTTTTGTATTATTACCATTTTCTTTGTTTTATTTATGTTCACAAACGTGGATTGTGTTAGATGTGTTTCGGGCAGAACATCCAATACGCACGCCAGCTAACATGTTGGATGGCAGCTGCAATTTAAGAGGCTTAGGCCTCCAAAGACCCGACAGCACAGCAACACTTGGTGCATGCTTGCCTTTGGACGCAAACGCAAAATCAGAAGAGGAGCGAAGGGCTCCGGGGCAGAGCAGCTGGTGCGCATGCCAATGTCCCCGGTTCAACCACTGCCAACGCCAGCTTAGAGCATCAGCCAGCAAGCCGATGGGAAAGACCTCTCTTTCCTCTGACGGAAGACACTGTCGTTCCCAAGACAAGTGGGCCTCCTAGAGGAAGGCGCTCCAGGGCTCCAGAGCCACCACACAAAGGCCCTGCTCCTCATCACTGGCCAACCTAGCATTCAGAGAGAAGATGGTCCCCAGAGTGCGGCAAGATGATCTCAACTCGAAGGGCAGGCGGTGCCCCCTGGGACCAAAGCGTGCAGGGGAGGTTTTCCAGGGCCAGAGGACCCACAGGCTTCCACACCCGCGGGCCGTGCTCACCTGTCTCTTGGCAAGCAAGGAGGAGTCCTGCAGCATGTCCATGATGATGATGAAGAGTTCATCCACCCACTTTCTCATCTCCAGCCCACTCACCTGCGGCGGGGAAGAGAAGGGTGAGGGGCATGAGGGAGACGCAGGCATGGGGTCTGTCGGGCCAGCCATTCATGGCAGCTGTTCCGGAAGGCCTTCAACTGACCAGTGGGGAGAGAAAGGCTTTGGCAGAGAGGAACGGTTTCTTACCTGGGCCAGTTCACCAATGGTAGCCAGGACATTGTTGATCACCCCCGGGTTGGGATCAGGGTCAGGGTCTTTCAGTTTCACAATCAGCGCCTGCGGAGCGACATACCAAAGAAAAGAAGCTGAGAAGGGAGGCAGGGAAGAATCACGCCATAGATTCCTACCTGTGAACCCCCATCAGCCCCTTTCCTACCTCTTCCCACAGGAGAGAGTTGAGACACAGTCATTTAAATTAACGGGGGGGGGGGAGCACACTCACGAATTCAGAAAGCTCCAGGGAAGCCCTACCTTGAGGATGGGCTCCATGTACGGCCGGATCAGCCGCGGAGCATTGGAGACCAAGTGCCCCAGCATCCGGGCACTCTGCTCTTTGATCCTGCCGACACCACTGTGCTCCAGCTCAGTCAAGATCTGGAGGGGAAAAGAGGATGCCATCAGGGAAGCTGGCGTTTTTCGGGCGAGACGGCAGCAACCCCCCCACCCCGGACTGCCAGCAGCAAAAGGGTCCCCTCTTATCTTTCTCCACCCCTCCTTATCTCCACCGAATGGAACTCTGGCTCTGCGTAATCTCTCTTCTTCTCAGAGAGGCCCCAGGCTCTATCATTCTGAAGAAAGGACTTTGGCCTCCCATGGCAGAGTGAGGCCACCCCCCTCACACACACCCCTCCAAGTGGGGCAGAACAGCTACGGTGGTGGGTTGGGACCCTGCAGGTTTGGGGTTGGGTCTCCATTTGGGCACGAAGCTCCTCGGAGAACTTGGGCCAGTCACGGACTCTCAGTCTGACCTTCCTCACAGGGTTGATGCAAGGATAAAACGAAGAGCAGCGCGAGGACAACTACCGGAGCCATCTTAGGATTATTTGCAGGAGGAGAAATGGTGGGAGAGAGATCAGCTCCTGGGCGAGACAGTTTTTGACCTCCACCTCAGTCTGCAGCCTGGTTGGGAAGGAGCCCCTCGGAACTGGCCTTCCCTGACCACTGGCCATGCTGGCTGGAGCCCCAGACATCTGTAGGGCACCAGCCTAGGGAAGGCTGCCCAATATGGATTCAAATGCCCACTTATCAAAGCACAAACCCACATCTTCTTCTTCTGCCTTGGGCTCTTTGTGAAGAGAAAGCGGACTATAAATAAAATCGCCCTGGCTGGGACCCAGAGCAAGGAGAAAGCCGGGGATGGAGATCCACTCCACCCTTGTTTGTTCAAGGCCTCTAACTCCCCTAAAAGACAGAAGGTAGGAGGGATGAGTAGCTTGTGGCGCTCAAGATACACTGGCCTACAGCTTCCAGCAGCCCGTGGTGAGAGCTGAAGGGCACTCCAGGCCAACACAGCTGGAAGACTCTAAGTCAACCTCCCCAGGCCTATAGAGATGCAGCTCCGGCCAAGACAAAAGAGTGTAGCAAGAGACCCCGGGCACTTTTGTCCCCAAGGGAGAAGCACGCGAGACAACTCAGTCACCCCCGCAACGCAGCGGGGCTTGGCCTCGCCCGTGCCATGACGACCGGACCACGTTGCCGTCCCGCCCGCCCGCCTCCCCCGGACCCGTCACCTGAATCAGCATCTTGCGCAGGAAGGGCATGACGAAGGCGGGGTTCATGCTGCTCAGCCGGCCCACCGTGCAGATGGCCAGCTCACGGATCTCGAACACCTGGTCATTCAGGGCCACGAAGAGAGCCTGCAAGTTCTCCGCCTGGGCCAGGTGTGCGTCAAACCGCTCGTCCAAGGAGGCCAGCACGCAGTATCGGATGTCAGGGTCTGGAAGAGCACGGGCGGACAGCAGGCGCCTGGGTTGACGTGGGCGCTGCTTCCGGGCAGAGCAGAGGCGGCGCCCCAGCCCTCCGGGGCACGAGTACCGGTGGCCCCACGAGGCTCCCCACTCCAGGAGAATCCGCAAAGCAAGCCGTGCACCCACCTGGGTCCGTGATTCCCACCACCAGCAGTTTGCCGAGGACATCTGCCACCACCTGCACGGCGGTCTGGCTGACGACGTGGGCATGGCCACTGATCAGGTGGATGGAGGGCGTCAGCAGGCGGGAGCACGTGCGGGCCGCCTCCATGCGGACCTCCTTGTGCTCGCTGTTGAGGAAGTGGTCCGCGCAGTGCCGGACAAACTGCGTCAGCGAATGTCCTGGAAGGCACGGGCGGGGGGCGGCGTCAGGGGCGCATTCCGCTGGCCGGCTGGCTTGTTCTTGGGAGCCTCTCCGCACCCACACAGGGAGGCTCCTTGTGCCGCGTCCGACCCTCCGTCGGCCGAGCCGGGGCTGAAAGACCAGCTGGGCCAGCCTGGGCCCCCTCCATGCAAAGCGCGCGCCCCCTCCCCACCGGGAGCACGTACCCTCAAACTCAAAGCTGCCCAGGGTGCGGAGCGCCAGCGTGAGGCTGCCCACGTCGTTGGCCTCGGGGAGGCTGGAGAGGCTGGGGGACGCCAGCTGGTGCGCCAGGCCTTTGGGCATGCCCGGGTGGCGCAGGGGCCGGTGCATCAGCACCAAGGAGAGCATCTTCAGCAGCCCATCCTGGATCTCCTTCTTGAGCTGAGGGATCTGGCGACTCAGGTCGTACAGCACGGCTGTCAGGGCGGGGCTGCAAGGGAAGGCACCGGTGCGGAGAGCTTGTTGGGGCCGGCCGGCCGCTACAGGAGGAGCATCGCCCCGGCACTCGGGAGCCGTGAGGCTCCTCCACAGCGGAAGTTTTAGCCCTCCCAGACAGAGAACCGGGAAGACGGGAGGGAGGAAGCGCAGCTAGAAAATGCCTGCCTTTTCTCTCATTTAAGCTCATAGAATCTTTCACCCAGTGGCCAAACTATTTTGGAATTCTCCTTCTAGCTGCACTCTAATGCTGGGCACAGCCAAGAATACCAGCATGTGCCAGCTTCAAAGCTTTTGCTGACAGTAACTAAACCTTAAGGAGGTAATTCATCCATTAACCGGGGGGGGGGTGGTCACAAAAGCTGGGAAACTTGCAGAAGACCTACGGTTGGCAAAAGGAAGCAGGACCCAGGGAAGGAGGCATGAAGTGCCAGGCTGTGTCCACAGGTCCCTTAAACGGCATTTTTCCTCTCAACACGTTGCTTCTTCGAATAGTGGCACGTTTCTGCTTCTACCGAAAGCAGCCCCCTCTACGTGGCCCGGAGCGGCCCCCACCCCCGGTATGAGAAGCGAGCCTCACATCTGCTCCCCAGAATGCACTCGGGAGCTGTGTGCTCCTTCGCTTTTCTCCCCAGAGCATCACAACGGGGAAGAGGAGGAGGGACTGCCTGAACCTGCTTTCTTGGTCCCACCCGCCTACCAGGAAGCAGCTCCACTGCCTTGCATGAAACATGGAGGGGCTGGAAAAATACCCTCGGGCTTTGCTTAGAAGCCCTTTTCTCCTTACCGCCTCATCCCATCCTCAGAAACACCCATCTCCCCTTGCTGGCTGGTGGGGGTGGGAGGCCTAATCCAGCAAGGTGCTGGACTCCTGAGCCCAAAACCCAACCCCAGCCTCAGGCCACTCGCTTGGATATAATCCTGCTGGTGCCAACAGGGGCAGAGCAGGGCAGGGCAGGACTTTCAGCTCCCAAACCCGCCCTGCTTGGCAATTAAAATACTCGCTCAGGCATTTGCCTCACAGGAGATATTTCAGGTGCCAGGAGTGGACAAGGAGACCTTCTCAGGAATCCCTGGGGAATTTCAGAAATCTCCGCAGCAGTACAAATGGCATTCTTCCACAGACATGAAGGAATCTGATATTTCACCAAAGAAATAGCCAGCTCCCTCTGCAGGCTACTCTCGCTGGCCCACACAAGCTCACAGACGGCAAGAAATACAGCGATGCTATACTCGTCTCTCTCTTGTCCTGAAGTATTCCAACAGAACAGCCACCCTATCCTGTGCAGCCGGGACAGGAGAAACGCTAACACTCTGGCAACGCCCACCAACTCCCAGCGAAGATCGGGAGGGCTCAGGGGAGCCAGTTCATCCGTAAGAGTTTGGAGGCACCTCTGGCACACCACACGACGGATGTGCATACCTACCAAAGCACCTTGCCGATGGGGCAGCTGCATCGCATTGGAGCAGCTCAGAGGAGGGGAGCTCTTTTGCATGTCCCACCCCTCCAGTCCAGCAGACAGTGCTGCACCTTCCCAAGGCGGGCGCCCACAGCCCTACGGTGGACACCGCCCCCCAGAAGAGGCGGCCCTGTGTGTGTTTTGGTGCAAAATGTGTTATTTGTTTCGGGTTTGTACACTGTTACACAGGAAAAGGTTTCAGGGAGGGGTATGCAACAAAGGAAAAATAAATAAATTGCAGGAATGAAGCAAACGGCAATAAAAGCTATTGTTGCAAATAAAATAATAAATAGGGAAGGGCAGAAGGCAGGCTGGAAGACTCCTGAGTCTTCATGGGTGAACTGTATGCAAGGACTGCAGATTTTCAATTGTTTTAAGACCTCCTGGAACCAAAGAGGAGGAGGAGGACTGCCACTGAAATGAAAAAATCCTTCAAAGCAAAGTCGTCTCCGGCCTTTCTAGCACTGAGATGGATCCTCACTAGCCTGAAGTCGTGCTGGTAGCAAACAGACACGCATTGCTGGCTCCACCTGCCTGTGGTCCCCGACAGGTTGGACTACAACTCACAACACGGCCCAACCAGCCACGTGGCTTCAGGCACGCTTGGGAGCTGTAGTCCAACACCTCTGAAGAACGCCGGGTCGAGGAAGGACGGGCCGGTTCATAAAGAATGAAGCACGGCCTGCCTAGGTTAACCCCTGCACACCAGGCAGCTCTGAAAGGGGGGGAAATAGCCTTCCTTGGCAGTTAGTTGTGTGTGTGGGGCGGGGGGAGATGCAAAAGCGCCACACAGTGGCTGAGGGAGGTAACTGAGAGACCTACCTCAGTCCCACAGCCAGCATGGGTTCCAGGAGCTCCTTGATGTCCTGCTGGATGGAAGGCCCCATTGCCCGCGCCAGCATGCTGATGCAGGTAAAGACGGTGGCGTCCACCTGCACAGATTTCTGCCTCCTGCAGGGGGGTGCACGAGAGACAACTCCACTGAGCAGGAAGTGTCGCCCGCTCTTTCCTTTTTACGTTTTGTTTATGCTGCCCTTCTCCCCCACAAAAGACTCTTCCCCCAAGGAGACCCCCCCCCACCGACTGTGCAAGCAGCCACTCACTTATGAGCGAATTCCTTCAGTGGGAGGGCGGTCTTGATAATTTCGAGGACTTTAGGCAGATAAACCTGGAATTCCGACCTCACAGCCACCGAGAGCAAGCCCAAGGCCTGGAACGCCGCCATCCGCTCTTTCTCCTTCTTAACACAACTGAGAACATGGTTCATGGTGTCTGGAAGGTAGTGGTCAGCTAGCCACGCCGAAAACAAAATAGAAAAGGGTTATTTTTCAGCCTCAATTTGGGTAAAAAGAAAAGGCTGCATTGGTCATTCCTGCTTAAACCTACTTCCCAAAAGTCCAGTTTTCAAATGTGGCTGGAGGGGCCAAAATGCTTCCTTAGTGATGGGGAAGGCGCTCTGTACACACTCACAGGTAATCCTTGACCACCAGCCAGTAAAAGCATAGAGGAAGAACAAGAACTAATGCATAATTCTGGTTCCAAAGGTCTATTATCTAAGCAGTCCTCGGAGCTCAGGCAGGCTGCGCCACAGGACAGATCCTTTTCCTCCCACAACTAAATGGTGGATTTTTTCTTCCAAGGCTTAATTCTCAGCAGTAGAAACATTAAGCTGAAATCCTATTCAAGTTTAGACAGAAAGAAGTGCTGCAAGCCCCTGGCCCCCACTGAATGTAGAATCAGTATATTCTACCTTCAGTGGGAGCAGAATAGAATTATTTATAGAATAAAGAATATATTGGAATATATTTCTACAATATAAGAAATATATTCTTTATCTATTCCAACAAAGTTGTTCTACGATACATTAGCAAGAGATGGATTTGCCCCCGCAGCTCTGTCCCACTCTCGCCTCGGTGCTGCTTCTGGAAAGGTGACCTAGCAGCATTTTACCTGTGAAGGCAGAAGGGCGAAAAGCTGCCAGCCGTGGAAGCAAGCTGAGCACAGTCATCTGGATGAGGGAGTTCTTGTTGCTTCGGCACTTCAAAACCCAGCAGCACACCTGAGGAACGAAGAGGCACAAGTCGACGCTGGATGGAGCACTTTGCTTGCACTGAACAAGCCGGACCAAACGTGCCCCCCTCATCCTCCCCCACCCCAGCAACTGGTCCGCAGAGGCCCTCGAGCTCACCTGATCAAACTTCTCCTCCATCAGCTCCCTGCAGCACCGGCTCTCGACCAGGGTGGACTTGACTGGGACAGGCGAGGCACCAAAGCCCATGATTCCGGGCTGAGGACTGAAGCCCAGGAGCCCCACCAAGGCATTGGACTGCTGGGGCTGCACCGACTGGAAGCTGGAGAAGGGGGTGATGTGGCGCGGTTTGGCCCCAAAGCCCAGCAGGTCTTTGCAGTACTTGTCATGGACCATCTGCTGCTGCGTGATCTCCTCCATCTCTTCTCGAAGACGCTAGATGAGGGCGAGAAGAGCAGGGTCAACACCGGACTGGCCGCAAAGCTTTAAAGGGCTGCGGGCACATGAGCATCGCCGGCTAGCAATGCTCGGAAGGAAGCCTGAGATAACGTGTGGGGTGACCTTAACCCATCGCCATCCCAACAAGTTCTACCCCAATACGCTGTTTTACGAATGGGTGCAAGCCAGACTGGCCATTCTCATTTGCCTGTTCAGAGCACTCTTTATTTATTGCAGTATTTCTAATGTTTAAAACTTTTATATGCTGTCACCACATGCCTCGGCATCTCGGGACGGCTCGCAACACACAATTAAAAACAATAAAATAACCAATTCCATACATTTATTATTTTACTTATTTATAACATTTCTATGCCGCACCCATCGCCGAAGCCTCGGGGTGGCTCCCAAGGAAAGCAAATAAAGCATAGAACAGTATTAAAAATTTGGACTTCTTGGCGAAATATAAAGCCATTAAATAAAACACAGATTAACAATTAAAATAGCGTTTAAATAAAAAGGTCTTGGCCTGGCGCCGAAAAACAAACAACAACGGCGCCAGGCGGACCTCTCTGGGGAGTGCATTCCATAGGTGGGGCGCCATTAATATAATTAAATTATATAAAAACAAAAACCAAACACAAAAAAGCCACCCTCCCACACCGAAAAGTTCTCTCCAGCAGCGTGCACTGGACCAGCTGCTCCCTGTCGGCCCAACTCACCTCTCCCTCCATGCTGCTGATCCTCACCAGCTCATTCAGGATCAGCAAGGCACCGTGGATTCGGTCGTCGCGGTTCATGCCCTTCTCCTTGGCCACCGTCTCGTCGAAACCCTTCTCGGCTTCTTCATATGTTTGCTGAAAAGACAAGGGTGCTATTAGGAAAAAGCCTCCAACACAGAGAATGCCCAGAGCCGGGGCATCATGCACCTTGATCGTTACGGCCAGCCAGCCATTTTTGTCTATTCCTGCAATGCATATACGGGAAGGAAACGGGTAAGAAATGAGGTTCAAGGGCTTCACAGCTTAAGTGAGATTTGAGGCAAGTTTTTCTTGCCTCAAAGCTCACTTTGCTCACCACCATAGCTCAGCGGAGACACAACAGCAAACCACGGCATGCAGTAGGGAAGAGCTCCAAACCCAAACCCTGATTTGAGCTGCCAAAGATACAGCCAAAACGCAGTCTGGGGCTGGTGTCTGCATTTGTTTAATGTTGTGAGGACTGCCAATGTTGACAGAGTGAAGCAGCTATTCAGACATCGTGTTGGGCCACTGTTTGCAAAAATATTTCAAACCATGGGTTCCAGTTCACAACCCAGTCACAGGCCATGGTTTGTCTGTGCAGATGTCAGGCCAAACTAGCAATGTTTCACTGTTATATTTGTCTGTGGGGAAAAACCCACAATTTCGGAAATGCATCATTTCGTGATACAACTTCATAATATCCAGAATCACTCAAATACAAGTCTTTCGGATAGTGAGGTGGCCAACTCCTGAAGAAACCAATTAATCCAAAAAAAAAAAGGAAAAAGGAAAAATCCAAGCCCTGCTCTCCAACTCCTCCTCACCCCTTTACTCTGCCACTTGGGGAGTTTGAAAAGAAGAGCCTTGATGAAAGAAGTGAAGAGAATGATTTGGTGGAAATTTACCTGGGAGGACGGGCTACCTGATTTAAGCAGGATTTGCTTTGAAGGAAACACAGAAGGGATGGGATCGGGCAGTTAAGAGGAAATGGGCTCCAGTTTCCAAATCACTGTCAACCACAACTAGAATTGTTCATGGGTCTTCGGACCCTAATGGTTGAAGCAGCTGGAAAGTCCTATTTCTAGGACATCAATAAAAGCAAACCACGGACTGCCTCCCCCACACTGCAAAAACTGCCTGCATACCCGGTACCACTGCGGCTTCTGCATCTCCTTCGACTCCCGCTGGGTTGTCAGGATGAGGCAGGCCCGTAAGGCAGAAACAGCTCCCTCGCGGATGGCCTGCTTGGGATCCCACACAGCGACGAAAATGTTATCAAAAAATGGCTGTACTTGCTGGAAGAAGAACGTGGGGACGCTGATGGCCAGCTCTCGCAGAACCAGGACCTGGAGGGTGGCAGGGAGAGAGAGAGAGAAGTGCAGCAAGGCAGGAGGCAGAAGCGAGACTCCAGATACTGCCTGAGCTGGCAACCTCAGAGTCACACAGGGAGGCAATAAATCTAGTGCCACCTGCCTGAACTTGGCTCAAAGAGCAGAGCCCTCTGTTTAATAATAATTACTCCAGCACTTATACTGCACTTTTGTGCGAGAGGTCAAGCAAAAAATGTTCTAACTCCTAGAGCCAAATAGATCTGGCATTAAAAGTGCTTGCCCTTTTGTTCTCGCAGGCCTTTTAAGGCCCAAATTTTAACTCTGATTTTTCCCTTGCTTTTAAATACCGGTCTTCTTTTTTATTGCCTATTAATGCAAATAATAGGTAAAATATAAAACAGTCATTTCTCCTTCCCAAAGAGCCCTGGGAACTGTAGTTCAGAGAAAGAGGGGATTCTTAAAGAGGGAACAAAGCCCCTCTTCTGCTCCCCATGTTCTAAGAGTATCCAGCGTCCTCAAGCAAGCTGCAATTCCCACAGGCCTTGGAAGGAGCCCATAAGGGTTCAACCGATTGTTTTAGGGCAAATCAGCTCTTAGTGAGGTCAACATTCTGGATTAGTCACATGCGAATTGTTGCTGATGAAAATCTCACTTGTTTCAAAACAGTGGGTGACTTTAAGGTGGATATCTATGGTAGCAAGTAAGGAGCAGGAACAGACACAGGGGGAAGACGAGGCGGGCCCAGGCAAGCGAGGGAGGCAGCAGGCTCCCCTTGAAGCGCCTCTCCAAAAGCCTTCACAGCTCTTATCGCAGCTCTCCCAAGAACAGACGCTTACCGCAGCATGTCTCCGTCCTTCATTTCTGTCGGCTCCAAGCCACTCCAGCGCTCGCTTCACTTCAAACTCCACATATTCGGCCGTGAACGTGTCACCCGATATCGCAAGGCGCCCGATGGCCTTGGATGCCATCTCCATGACAACAGGATCATTGGAGGGAAGGAGGTTCCTTAAGTAGTTAGCAAACCGACCAATCCGCGTGGCATTGCCTCCCTCAACGCCGATGAGGCTTGCTGGGAAACAGAAAGTGAAGGGATTCTCCGTTAGCACTGCTCGGGAACAGAATGTGTAGCTAGCTCTTCCTGTACCACAAGCCACCAGAGAGAAAGTAGCCAGTATTATTTAAATTGATGAGGTGCCCAGAGAAATGTTCTCCTCTGAACTAAGGACAAACCCATTTGTCAGGACTTTTCATTATTGTTTTGAAGGTTCTCCTTTTAGTTGCTTATGCTTTATATTTTTAGGTAGAAGAACCATTTGTAAAAGAACATGTGTGTCTCAGAGTCAAGGACGCAGAATGTTTCGCATTAATATGAGATGACATGGGAGTAAAATTAAAAAATCACAACTGAGTAATACATTTTCTTCACACAAAATATCCAGATACTTGCCTATAGCCAAAATGCCTCCTTTTCTCTCATTTGCATCTGAACTGGAGACCAGTTCAAAGATGTGGTGATTCAGCTGGTCATAAAACCGTGTGGATTCCTCTTGGCTCATCTGCGATGGAGGAGAAAGACGAATTCAACCCAGTAAGCAGATGCTCCTAGACATGACCAGCCCAAGTCTTGCCCAGCCTCTACAAATCTTACCACAGTTTTAAAAAAAATGAATGGCATTAAGGAGGAGGCACAATCCAAATTCAAAGCAATCTTTTAAACTTGTTTGGACCTGGGTGCAGGGGACTGATGTTGGAAAGGAACCGAAGCCCAGTGACAGAGACTGCGCTTTGCATACAGGTGGTTCCCTCGCATCTTGAAAAATCAGGCAGTGGAAGAGAGGAAGGGAGTCTACGTGATTCGCTAGAGAGTAGAAGAGACAATTTGGGTTACCTGGACAAATAGCCTGACTTGCTATAAAACAGTTTCCTTTGAAGTTCGGGATATTTTTAAAAAATGGCCTAGCTATCTAATGATTCTTTAAACAGCGCCCATGTTTAAAGAGAGGCCTATGTTTACCCCTGTCTCAAAGGGAATTAGGCTAAAAACCTGAATGACAACTGAGGAATGAGATGAAGAAATGAATGTGAACAATGAAGCTATGTGACTGTATTTGGGGGTGAGGAAAAAGGAACCAAAGCAAAGACCTTGTACGAAAACCAAGTGGGAAAATGTCATTTTCCTAGTCCACATTCCTTGCTACAAAGCACGCCGAGAGAGCCCCCCACCTCACGGAGTTCCATGGTGACATAGTGCTGCAGGTCCTTGGCAGCCTTTGCCCTGGCTTCTTCATTCCGGCTCTTGAGGCCACTCGCAAACTGCTGGAGGATAATGACGGTTCCCGACATGGCTGCGCCGAGTCAGGGCGCAAGGCGTCAAGTCCTCCAGTCCCTCTGTGGTGCAGATGCAAAGAAAAACTGTTATGAACATCTGAAAGAAGAGGAAGTTGCCACACCATCACAAATTCCTGGCTTAAGCACGCATGTTCCCAGATTTCACAGAAGTGGGACAGCTCCAAAAGCAAGGCCTAAACCAAGTATGAGCATTCCAGCTTCTTCCTTTCTTGCTACTAGTGTAGACAAATAATGAGATACACTACCAATCATATTGGGTAGTCACAAATTTACTCTAACTTTTTTCCCGTCTAATGATTGTTAGGAACACAATTCATCAACCTCCTAGGTAGACTTCCCAATATGTCAACACAAAATTCAACTGTGCCATCACATACCCATCATCAGTTTGGTGGGGGAGAGCATCGTCAATGAAGCCACAACCAACCCACACCTTACCAGGGCATCAGAATGGGATCCCTATGAAAGAATTGCATTCAAGGACGATCTTTCATCCCCACAGCACCATTCTCCTACTCCGTGGGGTGTGACCTGCCCACTTGGGCCGAGCATGTGCCCAACCATGATCACTCAAACCAGAAAGTTCTGAGCTAGAGGGTTCCACACAGAAGTCCTCCAGGGTGTCTGTGCTACGACTCCTCTGCACCATACCCAAGAAAACCACTATCAGCTCAAGAACGGAGAATGTCACACAGGTATGCAGCCTCTAAAGCTCAGCTGATCAAAAACAGACCTCCTCTAACGCTTCCCCTGCCTCTGAAAGGTAAAGCTTTTGTCTGCCCTTGTTCAAGGCCCAGGCAACAGACAGCTTCGGCCTGCTGAACCTGAGAGATCCCCAGAAAGACTATTCCCAAGACAGTGCATTAAAAGTGCTGAGCTGGAACTCCTTCTGCGTTCTAGTCCTCACTCAGCCATGAAACTCATTGGCGGACTTTGGGCTAGTCATGGACTTTTAGCCTAACATACCTCACAAGGCTGTTGTTGCGTGAAAGACGACCATAGAAGCCACCTTGAGTTTCTTGCAGGAGACAAAAAGGTGGAATATAAATTCAGTATCAGAAGGACAGATATGTTTCGTAAGATGGAAGCTATAATAAAATGTAAGACAGTGAAGTAGTAGAGAGGAATTTTAAAAAATTTGAAATAAAAGAATCCTGGAGAAAAAACATTCCTTAAATATTTCAGCTAATTTTAAAAATGCAAAGGTTAAGTGCAAGAACGATTATTATTATTAGAATACACATACTCAAGTCCCAGAGGCAAAAACTGTATCATTTGGGATAAGCTTTTTAAACAAAATATATTGCAAACAAGAAAGATTTCCAGCATTGTTACTACAAAAAAGGCCTCAAATATGGGAGGGAAAAACACAATGTATTTTGTGCAAAACTTAAATACTGAAGAGATCATGGACAAAAAAAGTATCCGTATCATTATAAGTATCTTACACAAATATTTTACCTAACTAATATTGTTTATAAATCATTGCTTGCACATTTTCTTCCAAACAGTATCCTTATTTATACATATACAAGCAAGCACGTTGTAACAATGATCATTAAAACTGCAGCAGAGACGCTGTGGGTATGATTTTGAAACAAGCCAAGAAGCTTTATGGGCGAGATTGCTGCTGGCGGTTTTCTTACAAGAATCCGATTTCTAGGCAAACTTGGCACTACACCCGTGCTCTGATTAAACTTTAGAACAGGATGCAGGAGGCTGGGTGGGGGTCGAGGTTTCCTTCCTGAACCGGCAGGCTCTGGGGCAGAAATGGCATCGCTGTGCTCCGGAGATTTACAGGCGGGCTGCAAGCGGTGAGGGGGGGGGAGTCTGCATTTTGGCCCGGGAGGGGACGGGGCAGCGACCCCGCGGAGGACCATTAATATGCACGAAGAAAGGCCATTCATACGCCTTAACATGCATGCAAATTTGTATTGCTATACATTCCAGTTGTGCACCGCCCCGGGGCCGAAGCCCTCCAGGCGGCTTGACCTGCATGCCTTAAAATTGAACTGTAAATGCAAAAGAGGCAGCGGGGGGAGGGGCGCTGCTGCGCTTGGGGGAGACGCAGTTCCCGGGGGCGAAGGGGAGCCCGGGGCGACCCCCCCCCCCCGGCCCCCACCCCCGCCCCGGCCTCCTCCTGCCCCCCGCGGCCCGGCTCCCCCCGCCCCCGCCGCTAACGCAGCCCCCCAGCACCGACCGGGCCAATCAGCTGCCCCGGTGCCCGGACAGACAAGGCGCCTGCCAATAGAACGCGGCCGCGGGAGCTCCGCGAGACGCTCACCTCACCGCACGCCGTCTAGGAAGTTCTCTTCCCATCTGCTTCTCAACGCACAGCAGGGAAAGGGGGGGGGAGGAAAACTCGACCAATCAGAGAATGAAGCCTTGCCGATTGGCGTGGGGAAAAGGGCGGGCTTCCGCCGGCACTTCCGCTGAAGCCGAGAGGCGGAACGGGCACCTGAATGCCCTCAAGCGAGTGACGTCTCCAAGCGACCCTGAAGTACGCACTTCCTACAGCGTAGGCCGCTCTACACGATTCAACTCTATGCCACGTGCGTGGGGGCAGATCTCGCGAGAGGGACCGAGACTTACCTTCCCCCTCGCTTGCGTCCTACTGCGTGAAGCCCCGTCCAAGATGGTGGCTGCCTGGTAAGCGGCTGTCGCGCAGCGGCCTAGAGGCGAGCGGGGAATGGCGGCGGCGGAGCTGGCTGGAGCGCCCTGCGGCGCCGCAGAAGCACCGGAGATGGAGAGCGGCGACGCAGACACAGTGCTGCCCGGGTTCAGGGATGCCGATTCTTTCGTCAAGGTATCGCGGAGGCGGACTGGGAAGAGAAGAAAGCGCGTTACGGTGCCGCTCGGCCGGGGGAGCAAAGCATCCCGGGAGTTGTAGTTTCCCGAGCAATTGAACGCCTGCGGGCATCACATCGTGGGGCTCGCTTCTCAAGATGGGAAGGTCCTTTAATTTGGGCCTGAAGTTTTGTTTGTTTGTTCCAACCGTTGCAACCAGTTTTAAAAACTAGCATGCCATTTTAAAACATAACAAAAGAATGGCATACAATATAATGCACGGGACACATAAAACAACCAAAATAACCTAGAAGTAGAATTCTAAAATGCTAGGAGGAAAGAAAGTTCTTTTCCTGGTGCCAAAAAGATCATAACTTAGGTGCCAGGCAAACCTATTGGGGGAGTTTATGCCATAAGTTGGGTGCCACTATTGAGAAGGCCTCTTCTCCCAGTTAAAAGGATCGAGGAGCAGGTGATGCGAAAGCACCCTTCTCTGCTTGGGCCCCTGGAGAACTGCGTCCACTCACAATAAACAGTGCTGATCTGCCCAGGCATGAGACAGCTTCCTCTGCATTGCATTTGAAAGCCACAGGTGGAGCGTAGGGGGGTGCATGGACTTCCTGCAGGTCGGGAATGAGGCTGACAGAAAGGGGAATCGGCAAAGCGTAGGCAAGTGATTGGGAAAGGTGTTGGGCAACCTGACATCGCTGTGTCGGCCTTCCAGCATGCCCTTGGTACGGTGGTGTCGGCCACCAAAGCTTCCAGTGGCCTCCCACAGCCCGGAGATGAATATGACTTCTACCGCAGCTTCCCAGGCTTCCAGGCCTACTGCGAGACGCAAGGAGATAGACTGCTGCAGTGGTGAGTCTCTCTGGACCACATCCAGTGTCCAAGCTGCTCATCTCCGAGCCCAGGCTGGCGCGCACCCCCCGAGTGCGGCTTGGCTGTCCTGATTCCGTTGTCTGGAGTCACCAGGCCCTTGGAGTGACCCCCCTCCCCATCCAGCCCGGCATGGGCAACACGAGCCAGCAGCAACGGCTCCTCAGAGTCCTGGGCGAGAATTTTCCCAGCCCTGCCTGGCAGTGGCCACAATGAACGAGGACCATTCTGCATGCAGGGCAGCGCTGAGCCGATGCCCGTCCCCCTCGAGGACGAGGTCAGAATGCCCCTGATGCCTTGCTGCTCTTCCTCTTGGCAGCATGAGCCGAGTGATGCAGTACCACGGCTGTCGCAGCCACCTGCAGGACCACAGCAAGGCCACGGAGCTGGAGGACAAGTTCGACCTTCTGGTGGACGCCAATGACGCCATCCTGGAAAGAGTGGTGAGTGTCGCCCGGGGCAGGGCCAGAGAGTTCGCCGGCTCGGCATTCTCCTTTCGGCAGAGGGTCCCTGTGCCAACCGGCAGCCCTTTCCCCGGCCTCCCCAATCCTGTCTCAGTCGCACACTGGCATTTCAGAGCATCCCGTTCTCGCATTTCAGGGCATGCTACTGGATGAAGCTGCCGGCGTCAACAGGAACCAGCAGCCTGTTCTTCCTGTGGGCCTGCAGCCCCCCAAGACCATCATCTCCAGCTGGAACCGCAAGGTGAAAGTTGCCCTCGTTTTGCACTTGAAGGGGTTAATCTCTGCTTGGCCTGTGGCTGTGTCATAGTGCCGCTGATAGGGGCTTCGGGGCAGAGCGACGCAAGTCCCCTGCTCCACACGAGCTATGGGATTTCCTTGTGTGAGGGGTCATGACGGCCACCAGGTTGAAAAAGAACTCGGAAAAAGGCATGGAGGCGAAGTCCTGAGGGCCGCTTGCGTCTCCCTCCAGTCTCCGGGGCAGTTTGGCCACACACGCTGCTTGCCGGGGCAAAGAGGAGGGAGGTGTGGTTTCGGTCCCATCTGCCTGTGGGTTTCACGAGGAGAGTTGGCTGGACCTCCTTCTGCAGAAGGCGCCGTGTTCATCAGCCCCGAACACGCACAGAGGATTCATCCGGGGAGGCTGCCCTGGGGAGACCCACCCCGGCCCGCTCCCCGCAGGCCTCCCTCGATCAGGCCGTAGTGGTGACCGTCGCCTCGTCTTCCTCAGCAGGGGGGAGAGGCCAGCAAGTGGGCCAGGCAGGACACCTTCCGCCTGCTGCACGCCAAGAACATCCCCCGGCCACAGCTCAGGTTCCGCGAGAAGGTGGACAACTCCAACACCCCCTTTGTCCCCAAGCTCTTTGTCAAGCCCAACGCGCTGAAGCCGCTGTCGGAAGGTGAGGGGGGCCGGGGAAGTGGAGGGCAAGGGCTGCTGGGAAGGAGGAATCGGCGTGCCCGCCACCGTCCTGGCCTGCTTTCCGAGCCTGACCCTCTTGCCGTACCTCAAAACAGCACCTGCGTGTGCCGTGAGGCTCTGTATTATTGCCGTTCCAGTTGGGTCACGTGGTTTCAGATTTGCTGTTTAAATGCATTTTAATTACGATTTTAAGAATCTCACAGACGTTGCTGGTATATAAATAGTGCAAATAAATAAAAACACTATGCCAGAAAGTGGGTAATTCGACGCCCCAGACATTTTGGACTACAGTTCCCGTCACACCCTGCCCCACTCGATTTCGATAGGATCCTGCAGGTGATGTTGGGCTGCTGCTCCCATTTCCTCACCTGTGGCTCTGCTGGCAAGGCCTGATGGGAACTGTGGTCCAACAGCCCTTTATGTGGGGAAGAAGGAAAGTGGCTTTATACACATTTCCCAGAGGAAAGAAACCTGGTTGCGTTGGACACAGATTTCCAGCCAAGCCCAGCAGGGCCCCTCCTTGCCTGCCTGGGGTCTCTTCTCCAGCCCCCAGCATCTCCCCGTAGGGCTGAAAACAACCCTGCCCGATCCCTGAAGGCTCAGCAGGGTCAGGGAAAGGAGAGGACAGAGAACAAGATGATGGCAGCCCTGCCTCACCTGGCCGCTTGCCCCCTCCCAGCACTGCTGAAGCGCAGGCGCGAGCGGAAGGACCGCCCCGAGGACCTGGATGTGCCCGCCGCCCTGGCCGACTTCCTGCACCAACAGAGGACCCAACGGACGGAGCAGGACATGTAAGAGCACCACAGACCTGCGCCTCTCGTGAGGATGGCGGGGCGCCTCTTCCGGTGCGAGCCCTCCTACGCTCACCCCCCCGAGGCATCCGCCAGGTGCCTGCAAGGCTGCAGCAGCAGGGAGGGCCTTCTTTGCGGGGCCCCATGTTGCTGCAGGCATCTCACCTTGTGTTCCTATCTGGCCCCTTTTCCTCTTGCGAGGAGGAATGGCTGTGGAGCAGTCCCACAGGCGAGGCCTACCTGGCACCCACTTTCCCGTATCAAACGTGTGTGCTGCCTTTGGAAGCCTGTGAAGTGGCCTTAGTTGGGTCCTGGGGGTTTTCTGGACGTCCACATGGTGGGCATGTCGTGAGCGGAGCTGGCTGGAGCCAGGGGCAGGCTAGATGGCCCGGGAGGCCCCTTCTGACTCGCTCTGTTTCTACGTTTCTTGCTTGACTGATCAACCTTCACCCCAGACTGCATTGTTCTTTCTGGTTGCTGCAGGTTTGCTCACCCCTACCAGTACGAACTGGAGCACTTTTCACTGCCGGCTGAACTTCTCGAGAAACCTCAAGTCCAGGTCCGTGATGGAGTCTTGCTGCGTCCGGCCCCGATCCAACCCTCTCGTGCCTTAGCAAGCCATGCCTCAGTGCCTGGGAGAAGCAAACCTTCTCATACCTTTTCTCCACGCAGATGTTCCGGCCTCCTGCAGAAACGCCCTGCCACTTTGTCACCACCGTGGATGAGCTGGTTGAGCTGAACGAGAAACTCCGAGGCTGCAAAGATTTTGCTGTGGACCTAGAAGTAAGAACGTGTTCCCATGCAGCGTCTCTTGGAGTGGGGATTTGAACCTGCATCTCCTAGTCCAGGATTCTGGGCTGCAGCAAAACTGTGACTTTTACATGTGCCGGAAACCTGGGTGGATTTCCAAAGCCTGAATCTGACCTTCCGTTGAAAATGTCAAGGTTTTAAAAGTTTCAAGGGATAAATCTAGGGAATTGCACTTCTTAAAATGCTGCGTGTGGGCTGGGCTGCTTGAGAGAGGCATATTAAACAAGCTGGCCCGCGGTCCTCTCGCTGCAGTTTTCCAGCGTGTGTGTGCTGGACACATTCCTCAAGCATACACAGGAGGTAAAAATGGTGCCACCGCTTCCTAATTTGCTTTTGTTGTTGTTAGTCGCGAAGTCGTGTCCGGCCCATCGCGACCCCATGGACAACACTCCTCCAGGCCTTCCTGTCCTCCACCATCCCCCGGAGTCCCCCTAAGCTCACGCCGACTGCTTCAGTGACTCCATCCAGCCACCTCATCCTCTGCCGTCCCCTCCTTCTTTTGCCATCAATTGTTCCCAGCATCAGGGAGTCCTTCCTTCTCATTAGGTGGCCAAAGTATTTGAGCTTCATCTTCAGTATTCGGCTTTCTAAAGAGCAATCGGAGTTGATTTCCTTTAAGACTGGCTTGCTTTTAGAGATGTCTAAACTGACTGTGCTCACATATGCCTTTGTACAGGGGTGCCCTCGATGTCCTCCACCCCCTGCTGCCCTCAGTTAAAAAAAAATAAATCAGAAAATGGCTGCTTACTCAACATGTTCATGCTTGTGGAAGGAGGCAACCTGTTGTCCATCCTTACTTTTTGAACTTGACCATTGTCTTGGCTAAGGCTGGAGGAAGGAATACTCCAAAAACCTGCAAATCACCGGATGGGCAACCCAATATTGACACGTGGATGTCACTGTGCTTTTGTTTCACCATCTGGGGAAGGCGAGTTCGTGCGCCCATTCATGCCTCACCTTCCTTCTTTACTTTTCCTTTCCTCCCACCTCCCCCTGCAGCACCATGCCTACCGGAGCTTCCTCGGCTTGACGTGCCTCATGCAGATCTCCACCCGAACCGAGGATTTCATCGTTGACGCGCTGGAGCTGCGCGGGGACTTGTACATCTTGAACGAGACGTTCACGGACCCGGACATTGTCAAGGTAGGCAAACAGGTTGCGGACGGCGGTGCGTTGGAGTGGCTCCGGCTGGCGCATCCCCGCAGACCGCGCTCCAAAAGGCGGGACGGCCGCCTCCGTCACTTCTTGAGAAGCAGATCTTTTCCGGAAGGAAACCTGGCCGGGCCTGGGAGGTGCCCAGCGGCCGGCGAGGATTCTGAGGGGCCAGTTGTGGAAGGAAGGCACTCCGGTCAGGAAGCTGCGCACCAGCTGGGGAGTGACATGTGTGGACCTGTGGGAAGCGGTTCTACCTTTCTGGGTAACCCTGGGCAGGCTTAATTTGGTCCATCACCCCTGGGCTGGCGATGAATTATCTGGCCGCCACTTTAGGGGCCTTTCAGTAGGGAAATTCCTGGAGGAGGAGGCGAGTCATGCCCACCGGTGGTGGTGGCGATGTGCACTCACAAGGATCAAAGGCAGTGTGCCCATGTGCAGCAGTCGCTGGGGAGCATGGGGAGCAGGGTGCCCTTGCACGCTGGCCCTGCTTGCGGGTTTCCTGTGAGCAGCTGGGCGGCCACGGCAAGAGCAGAAAGCCTGCTCTTCTGTTCCTGGGATTTAATCTCACGGGCTGACAGACAGGGATGGGGCTCGTGGAAGGAGCAAGGTGGGCCAGCCACTTACCCCAAGGCCTGGGGTTTCGACTGAGGACCCAAAGCTGGAGCAGCCAGCTAGCCCTCAAGTCCTGAGATCCGGCTGGGCTGATGAGCTGCGCTTTCCGTGGCCGGTGCCCGTGCAGGATCGCCAAGCGTCAGACAGAGCAAGCCGCGGGACCAGGGACGGCCCTGCACGGCCTAAGGTTGCTGGAGTCCCCTGGGACGGCCGGGGACTCCCAGGGAAGGGTCTCCGGCGAGGATCTGGAGGGCAGACACGCCGCGATCCGGAGCAAACCTCCTCCTCTCCCTTGGCCCCTCGTGGTGGCGCTTGGCAGGTCTTGCACGGCGCCGACTCAGACGTGGAATGGCTCCAGAGGGACTTCGGCCTCTACCTGGTGAACATGTTCGACACTCACCAGGCGGCTCGGCTGCTCAACCTCAGCAGGCACTCCCTGGACCACCTCCTCAAGCACTACTGCAACGTGGACGCCAACAAGCAGTATCAGCTGGCCGACTGGAGGATCCGGTAATGGGCGAGCCGGAGCCGGCCTGCCCCGTCAGCCTGGCTCGCCTGGGCACGCGCGTCTCTCGTTGCAAGCTTAGTATCGGCCTCCTCCGACGTGACCCACTGGCTGGCTCAGCCATGGTTCCCTTGCTGGGCGTTACAGAAATCCAAAAGCGACAGTCCGTGATTGCAGACCCCTTCGACGTCATCCGTTCCACGTGGCTTCTTAAATCCACACGTGGCCGGGCTCCCGCCCTTTGAAAAGGGGGCAGCTGCACTTGTTCTCCTGGGATCGTGGTTGAAAATGGAGGGCGCCGGGGTTTGTGCAGTCAAAGGAAGAAAGCAAAGCACGGGGCATCTTGTTTGCACCGTCACTTGTCCGTTGTGCAGGGCCTCGTTTCCGTAAACACCACGACCTGCCTGGTTTGCCCTGTTGTCAGAACCCAGAGGGGGCGACTCCTAGACCAAGCCGCCTCTCGTGTTCTTGGTTGTCTTTAGCCACTCTCACGTCAGATGTCGTTAATTCCCCTCAATGTTCTGGCAGCTGAGTTGCTTGTTCAGTGGGAGGAGAGGATAGATACTGTTCTGCCCATGGGGCAGGTGGTTGAGAGAGCGGTGGGCCGCCCCAACCCATGGCTTTCTTCCTCTGCCCCAGCCCGCTGCCGGAGGAAATGATCCATTACGCCCGTGACGACACCCATTACTTGCTGTACATCTACGACCGAGTCCGAGAGGAGCTGTGGGAAAGAGCCAACGGGCAGCCAGCTCAGCTCCAGGTGGCCTGGCAGCGGAGCAAAGCCATCTGCCTGAAGGTAAGCCACCTGCACTGGGCAAAGGATGCGGCAGCCCAGGTGTGATGGGCACACGGAATGGTTCAGGCAGGAGCCAGAAACCCAGGCTCCATTAGAAAACCATCTCAGGAGACTTGGTGCTTTCCCCGTTCTAGTAAAACCCTTTCCCTGGAAATCACTGGGATGTCTGAGAACAGCCCTCGGTACTTCCCCGGAGGGGAAGCAGAATCTCAGCCTCCAGGCCCAGACTCAGCTGCTGGGCATCCTGCTAGCTGGCTCTCCCTGGGCCTTCCACTCCGACTGACTTCCTTGCGCCTTTCCTGGCAGAAATACATCAAGCCCATCTTCACTGAGGACTCTTATCTTGAGCTCTACAAGAAGCAGAAGAAGCACCTCAACACCCAGCAGCTGACGGCATTCAAGTTGCTCTTTTCGTGGAGAGACAAGACGGCGCGCCAGGAGGACGAGAGCACGGGGTACAGTGGGGCTGCCTGCGGAGGGGGGACCGTTAACGGAAGACGGCGGTCTTCTCTGGCCTGTGCAAAGCAGAACCAGAAGGCCAGAGGCGCTTCTGCATCTCAGTTTCTCGGGACAGGACCGCCCAAATGCAGCTATTACTTAGTTGACAAGGCCATCCAGATGGGTGGAAGCGAATGCCACCATGTAACTCCGTGCTGTATGAGAAAGGGCCGTGTTCTGTCTGTCTTGCATCAGCTGACGGTGGACGAAGGCTAGGCAGGACCAGGCTGCGAAAAGGTGCCTGCGAAAAGGTGGATCGGAAAATCCAGGCATTCCCAGGACCGCTTGTTTCGTTTCTCCTGTAGGTATGTGCTACCAAACCACATGCTGCTGAAGATAGCAGAGGAGCTGCCCAAGTAAGTGAATCCTTGATTCCCCAGGCACAGTCTTTTTGACTGCAGTTCCCATCAGCCCCAGCCAGTGTGGCCAGGGGTTGGGGCTGTGATGGAAGCAGGAGTCCAAACCTCCAGCGAACGGTGGGCTGGAGGGGGCTGCAACGACGTGGCTCGGAGGGACAGGTGTCTTAGCACGTGAGGCAGCACTGCCTAGTGGGCAGGGATGTTGGGAAATACAGCCCAAACATTTGGAAGATGCCACTCTGGGGAAGGCTGCTGGGCAGATGCTGTAACTGCAGTGCAGTCGTAGATCATTCTTTTTTTTAAAGTTGACTGTGTGATGTACAGCTGAAGGAGGTATCCCAGAACCCCTCCTTCATGCTCCGTTATTCCAACAGAAAATAGTCAGCCAGCGCGTGGGTCCCCGTTGATTTTCAGCCCCCCTGCCTCTAATTCCCATTTTCCCACCAGAAATGAATGGGGAAGAAAAGCGGAGGGAGGTGTTCAGCAACGGGGAAAAGGTCCCCCTGCCCTGAACCTTCACTTCCCAGCCCACCCCGGCATAGGCCTGCCACCTGCCGCTCGGCTCTCCTCCTCCCCCTGGGATTTGGCCTGTTCTGCCCGGGTGCTGAGCCCCATCAGGACCAGCTCAGAACCAGAACTGGACCTCCCTGGGAGGAAAAGCCCGTGGGCACCCCTACCATGGGTTGGCGCCAAGGCCCTGCTTTTCCATGGGTCCCCCACCCTCGTGTTTAATCCGGCAAGTGGGTTCTGCGCCTGTCAGGCGCAACCTGCCCGGCCAGTGCAGCTCTGCCTCCCCCCCCCGCAGGGAGCCGCAGGGCCTCATCGCCTGCTGCAACCCGGTCCCGCCCCTCGTTCGGCAGCAGATCAACGAAATGCACCTCCTGATCCAGCAGGCCAGAGAGATGCCGCTGCTAAAGGTACGTGGGGCACAGGGTGCGGCAGGTGCGACCGGCAGCATCTGCGGGGAGAGCAGCCGAGTGGATGCTTTGGCCAGTAAAAAGCCCTTGCGCACCAAACCCCTTCCTGACCCGATGCCCCGATAACCCCAGTTGCGTAGGCCAGATAAAATTGTGCGTGGCACGGATCCCTTTTCCCTCGACCGTCGCAACATTTGTGGCCTGCACAGGATTGCTGCTGGCGGACCAGCTTGGCCAACAACAGAGGAATGGGTTGCCAACACCTGGCCAGGTATGCAGGTAACATGCCCACAGGAGGACACACTGTTGAGGGACAATGCTTTCAGGAGCTATGCGTGTGGGTACGCTCCCTCTGCAACCTGCCCTCTTCCTCTGTTTTTACCGCACTGCTCATAATCGGTTCCTTCATAGGCCGTTGAATGTTTTGTGCCAGCCCAGGCTGCCGGCTTGGGCAGCGGCTGGACAAACCAGCAGTAAACCAGAGTTTGTCGGGATAACCGTGGAACCGCTTTTCCCCTGAACAACCCAGCCATCTTGAGTCCAGTCATGAGGCTCGGCTGGAGCTGATCATGGGTTGCGGAGTAAAGCAGAAAAGGTCGGTGCGTTTCAGCCCAGTAGTTTCTAAACTGATGGGCCATCTTTACATGCACAAGGGCCAACGTGTGTGTGTGTGTGTGTGTGTGTTTGGGGAGCTTTTAGAGGCAAGCAACATTCCCTTAACTTTTTCAAATTTCTTCTCATCCATTCTCAGTCTGAATTTGCAACTGCAGCGAAAAAGAAAGGACCGGTTCGAAATGCAGAGGTACGTTCTCTCGGATGTGAGGCCTCCACTCAGATGAAACTTTTCATGCTTAACTTTGGATGCAGGCCCCAGTTGTACTTCAGTATTTTTGCTGATGTTGCCACTTTTTTAGCATCCGCACAAACAGCAACACCGACGCGGAATATCACGTGTTTCTCTGGGATTGCCCATAACACATCAAGTAACTACCCAACTCCTCTTCCAGTTGACCAAAAAAGTAGCTCTTAACTGTTGCAACTTTCTGCACAGTGACCCCTCTCTCTTCGTTTTGGCAGAAGCCAGAGAACCACCTGTTCGGACCTCATGACAGCTCGCACCTCGCTCCCGATGAAAAGATGAACTACATGGATCCAGGTAATTCCGGGGACACCAGTCACAAGCGCAAACCTTTCTCCAGTTGAACACTCGGGTCTCTCAAGGGGATTTCGTCCAAAGGCATGTTGTGCCACTTAACCTACCTCAAAGGACTGTCGTGACGGTAAAGAGGGGTGGTGCGGGAAATCGTGTGCACTGCTCTCAGTTCTTTAAAGGAAAGTCGGCAAACGGGCCGCAGAGTGAAAATTCGCCAAGCTCCCCGTCATCCGATTGCTTGTTCTTCCTTTTTTCCCTTGTGCAGCGCCTGGAGCAACCTTAGCGCATGCAAGTCTCTTTCCGGAAGAGGAAGTGGACGGGATGGCTGTCTCACCGAGGCCGCCATGTCTCCTCCTGGAAGCCAGCATCAGTATTTTTAATGTGCGTAATGGTGGAAGGAACGGACCCACTCTTGGGGACTGGAAAGGCGCAGGCTCGGGTGACCTAGCTGAAGCTAGCTGGGTGCGCAGGGTTCAGTCTTGGCACGCTTAGGCGGAAGAACATGCTAGAACTCCAAGCACGTAGAAACCGTAGGACTTGGTTCCACCTGTGTGTGCACAGGATTGCACCTTGGAAGTATTCTGATCCAACTCCTCAATAAAATAAGACTTTCCCAGCCTGGCAATCTAAGAAGGCATGGCACACAAGGAAAGGCAGATGCGGGGGGAAGAGGAAAGAGTTAGGCTCTTAAAAGGAGGTCTGGAGTTTTCTAGGCAGGCTGTATTCCAGGAAGAGCTCGAAAGCACTACTGGTACCTTGATGCCTGTTGATCTGTAACTGGTCCTAGCTGGATACTTGCTGACTTTTCCTGCATTCCCAAAGGAATCCGAAATAGATGGAGAGAAGAACGAGAATTTGACGGTGGCGCAGCAGAAGTCCCGGCGCATCATGGAGTCCTTCGAAAACCCATTCCGAATGGTAAGACACACTCACTTTTCTACCAGGTGCAGTTGGGAAACCGGACCGCTCTTTTCCCTTAGTGAGGGTTTGGCAACCTGCTCTGGGAAGTTTCATAAAAGCTGGCTGAGGAAATTGACCACTTCGTTTTGGAACGAAAAAGAACGCCTTGCAAAAGAATTTACTGGGTGGCGGGCATGGAAGGGGCCACGTTTGCTTGCTGTAGCCCGTTGACCTGGCCTGGGGTCGGAGAGAGAGAAGGCAGCCTGTTAGCCAGCTTTGGCCCACAAAAACCAATTGGTAGCAAAAATTTGGATCCTGGCCCATCAGTTACACTTTATTTTTGCTATGGCAGAGTGTTGAACATCGTTCGAATCTCAAGGAAAAGAAAACTTTTCAAGTGTTAGGGTCTCTCCCCGCCCCCCCCGCCTTTATTTTTATGAAACGTGTGTAGGAAGTAAATTACTATTTTAAAAGCTGTTGCTCATGCTCCATAGCTGGAAGGATTTGCTTCCACGTGGCACTAACTTCTTTATGGAGCTTCAGTCTTCACAGAGTGTTTGGCCAGATTACAATAACGCAGAGGGAGGAGAGAAATCTATTACTGGCCCTCGAACGATTAATCTTTCCTGGCTTCGTGGCTTTCAGACTATAAAGCCATGCCCTGGTTACAGAATTTTGCCCCTTAGTGGCAGAAGATGTTAAAGCAGGTTTACTGTAATTAAAATTGATGCATCTTGAAAGCAAAAGAGCTGGGTCAACACCTCTATGGTCACCTTAAGCACTTGCACCAGATTCCTTCATTCTGCCCGTCTTTCTTTGCTTCAGTATTTGCCAGCAGAACAGAACTCGGCCCATATCTCGCAGTCGGCAAAGTTCGATCCATCATCAAAGATCTACGAGGTATGTGCACCTTACTGAACACAAGCAGCTTAGGGTCTTGGCCAGTCTGGGGCTGAGAGTTCCTTCCACACCTCCCCTGCCATGCCGCTGCCAGATCCCTTTAATCCCCTCTCCTGCAGTGGGGCTAATTTGGCAGATGGTTCACACACCAGAACATGGTTTCAGAGGGGCAGAGTTACCATTCATTCATTCATTCGTTCAGAGCATTTGTATGCCGTCCCATCGCATAGCCTCGGGACGGCTTACATAAATAAAACATAATACAGATAAAATCCAGATCCACCCTGGCTGCATATGAAAACCTATAAACTGATATTAAAAGTTATTAAAATATCATTGAAATAAAAAGGTCTTAGCCTGATGCCGAAAAACAAATAACAGCCTCTCTCTCTTGCGTACACCTTGTGCTTCTTTTCCAGATCAGCAATCGGTGGAAACTCCTGAGCCAGGCACAGCTTCAGGCAGTGTCCAAAAAGGAACCCACCAAGAAAGGCCTTCAGCAAACGGGTAAGCCGGGCTTTGCTTAGGATTCTGCCTCTCGCAGTGACGGTCCCTACCGGAGGTCCCGCTGCCAGGGAGGTTCAGAGGAGAGCAGCAAAGACGGGGCCTTCTTGGTGGTAGCTCCCCCACTGTGGAACCCTCTCCCAGGTGAGGTTCGCCAGGTGCCAATGTTGCCACCGGTTCAGGGCCAGGTTAAGACTTCCCTTAGACTTTCCTGAGGCAGCCTCTGGTTCACACAGTGGCAGCTAGCTGCCAGTGGGAATCCCGGAAGCAGGATGTGAATGCAGCCGTACCCTCCTGCCCATGCTCCCCAGCAACCGGTTTGCGCAGGGGCACTGCCTCTGATCCTGCAGGTAGCCTTGAGCCATCCGGGCTGGGCCTGGATGCACGTCCGGCCTTAGCTCTTAAATTTAATGCATCCTTCCCTTCCCTTGGCCTGCCACCCTTCAGCAGCAGCAGCAGCCGCCCATGAGCTCGCCGAGAAGGAATGCAAAGACAAAGCCGCAGAAGCCGTTTCCGTGCGCCAGATGGTCGCAGTAAGTCCTTCCCTATCCTGAAACTTTGCACGGCGAGGAATTGGGGGTGGCGGGGACAAGGGCTAGAGCGGAAGGCTTGGATTTTGATCCCATTCGGAAACACCACACCTGCCCTCCTAGCATCTCCAACCCTTTTAAAAAAGCCCATTTCTCCTGTAAAAACATACGATACTTTCTTTTAATTGATGTCATTATCAGCCTAGAAAGCAGTGCAGGGTCTAAACGGTCTTTGCTCCCCGTGATTTTATTATTAAGTAAAATAGACGGATTGGGTGTTTGCAAACGTGTTGGTTTCTGCATGGATTTTAAGCAAAAAACTAGAGACCACCCAGAGGAAAGGTCTGGCATTTTATAGACTATAATATTCTATGGGAAAGTCAAATTATGAAAAAGTGCTCTTGATATCAGGGTGACAATTTTTTTAGTACAGGGCAAAAACCAAATAATTATTGAAATGTAAGGAAAGGGGTCTCAGGAGTTGTTTCAACAGCTATAATCAATCCTGGTCAAAGTTTGATTTGGAAAAAGTGAAAGAAGTATTGAACTGAGAAACATGGTTATTAATGGATGGTATTAAGGGTTTCCCATTTCTGGAATAGTATATGCTTTTTCTGCTGAATGATTTATTGAAAAGTTGTTACGGTTCACTTTTTAAAAACCCTCGTACCTCCCTCCTTGGGTCTTTCCCCCTCCAGCAAGAACAGCTCAGCCAAAAGAGGGAGAAAGCAGAAAGCAGCAATCCCGAAACAGAGCCTGGCAAGCAGGCAAGGAAAAAGCCCAAACTTTCCCAGCCCCCTGAGGAAAAAGACGCTCCTAAGGAATTCACCCCGTTTGACTACAGTAAATCTGACCTCCGAGTCTTTGCCGGTAATTAAAAAAAATCCCCCTTCCCAGTTCCTGGCTGTGTCTGAGCAAGTGCCCTGGGAGCACATGAACCCATAGCCTGAGCGCTGTCTGTGGCGGAGCGGTGAAGATTTAGCCCACTCGGGGTCCCCGCTGAGTCCCCTCCTCTAGAGACACCTCCCTGCTCTTCCCAGCTTCCAGTTGCTTGGTGATTTGCTGGTATTTATGCGGCTTCTTCCCTAAACCCAACCCAAAAAGTTTCAGTGTGCCTCTTCACGGGCAGAGGGGTGCGGGGTGGGGGGAGATGTGCCAAGCCGTATGGGGCAGTGGTGTTCTGCCCTTTGGTGGATCTCACCCAGACCCCCCGGAGTCGGATCCTTGGAGGTCTGCAGCGTGTATGTGAGAGCGAGGCCAAAATAACCGCAAGCCCTCAGCACAGTTCTACTCGCTGCCAGTAACTCAGCGTTAGGAGACAGGTATGCAAACCTGGCAAACTGCCAGCTCATTGGTGGCCAGGTGAGGAAAGGAGCGAGGCCAGGTTTGGCCCACAGAAGTCCTGCTTCCCCAGTCCGAAGCTGCCAACTCGCCAGGACGTCCCCACGGCGGCTGCCTGTGGCTGTGGCACAGGTAGCCAAGGTCGCCTTCCGCCTCTTCCTCCCTCTCAGGAAGCAGCGTGCCCAAGCCTTCCTCGCAGTTCGATCCTGCCAAGCAAGCCCGGGCCGGCAAGGTAAGGCACCTCCTTGCTCCACATCACAGGGAGCAGGATCTTGTTGTGCAGGATTTGAGCCCAGTGCACACGGGAGAAAATCCAGCCATCTGTTTTCCTCTTGGGCACAGCGGGGGGCGGGCCGCAAGGCGCAGGGCTTCAGGCATCCCTGGGGATGCATCTCGGCATGGCTGCTGGCCCAGCAACCTGCCGGCTTGACCAAGGGCCAGGAGTGCCGGGAAGTCCAAAATATCCGGAGATCTACTTTCTGCACCACAAGTGCACAAGTCCTGCACAAGACCAACACAGGTCTAGTCGGTAGTCAAACATGGAGTGTGAATGTTGCCGATATTATTCCATTTCTGTACCTTTTCTTGCTGTCAGGCTTTGCCATGCAAAAGAGGGGAAGCTGCTTATACAACCAAACCATGCAATCCTGCACACATGTTCTCTCCCCGTCCCTCTCGCACACACACCCAGAGTGCAAGCACACACACAAGTGAGCAGAGGGGCTAAATTGGGTGGGGAACCTTGGGTGTTCCAAGAGATATTTTCCATCCCCAAGGCTTTCCCACGGACCACACTCTTGTCACCCATCACAAAGCTGGTGACAACTGCTCGGGACACATTTCAGCTTAAATACCAGCTAAATTTGGCACTGCCAAGTCATCGCATTTTGCCAGTGAATTTTGGGAGACCACCACCGATGTATAATGCTTATTTTTGGCCACTGCTCCACCAAATTTCAGCAGTGCAGGGGCAGCAACATGGGTGATCGGGAGCTGGGTTGCCCTCCCCTGGCCTCCGTGGATGAATTGTTCATTATAGAAAAAAACAAAGATAACAGTGTGATGCACCTTAACAACTGTTTCTTTCTTGCTCAAAACATGCATTCTAAAAACAGAAATTCTCAGGAGCCAGCAAAGTCCAGCAGCCAGTTGGAACAAAGAGCATGTCATACACAGCTGGGAAATCTAACAGGTACGGTGAGACAGCCCTGGAAATTGGAAAATAATCTTACCATTACATTTTCAAACGTTTCTAGTCTGTCGTGTTTGCTAGCATTTGGGATTGGGTGGGCCAAGTTGGGAAATGGCCTTTTTCTGCATGATTCGAGACGTCGAAGTGTTAATTCTTAAAAATGAGCTTTCTGTAATTTTCTGCACAGGGGTTTCAGGCATAACTGGCCGAAAAGATAACGCTGCTCAAAGAGCCTCCTGGAAAAAACCACGAAATGCAGCATTGGAGAAATTAACAGAGTTCAACAGAGAGGATTCCCATTTCCTGCTGCTGCCTTTTATATGGATTTCTTGTAGGGGAGGGGGGTTGTTTTTGGTTTTGTTCTTTTTTTAAAAAAAGGGGGATTAAACTGCCTTTCTTTGCCCGAAAGTATGGAAGGAAAAATCTTAATAGATGTGAGTGATGTTTCTTTCCCCCTTCTTCCCCCCTTCTTTCCCCCCGTAATAGTTTCAATGTTTATGGGGCTTTGCTGCCGCAAAAGTAGTTCAAAAAAGGAAAACTATTTGGGAGCCCTTCATTGCCTGGAATGCAAATGGTGCTTTGCCCAAACACACCACCCTGGAAGTTTTGAGTCCCTTAACTTCTGGCTTCCTGTGCTTGCCTGTCCATAAAGACTAGAAAGAACCAAACAGTAGAAAATAAAACGGCTTTACCCAAGCTGTTGCCATCTGGATGAGCTGGACTACAATTCCCGGCATCCCCCATGCCCTTCGAGTTTACCACTTAGAGGGATCTTAGTGATAGTGGCTCCTTGGAACCTCCACACACAGAAACACTCTACCTGTTAAACAAGAGAAAAGGGATTCCTTCTTCCAAAGGAATACTTCCCAATAGTACCGACTCTGGACTTTAGGCTAATATTAAGGAGCTGTCCATGCTGCTGAATCTCTTTGGGAGCTCATGTTTTGGCAAATAGTTGACTCCTTTAATGTTCAGACTAAAAACTGGAGTGGATACAGCACCCCACTGGCACTGGATTCACAAGCCTCCAATGCTGCTGTCCACTGTCAGAAACAGGACACTGGGCTAGATAAGCCTTTGGTTCAATCCAGCGGGTATCACGGTTACTGGATCCTAAGCTCTTCTCACAGGGGGCTGTGTCCTTGGACAGTGCAAACCACTTCTGGAAAATTGGCAATGAGTCAGGACAGATCCTGGTGACCCTTCACTCCATCCGTTCTCATCCTGATGCACAGGGCAGAACCTCAGGGCCAGGGGCCAAATTCTGCCCGCCTGGGGCCTCAGCCCAGCCCTTTGAGGTTTCCCAAAAGCCTGTGCCTCTTTGTTTCCTGACCTTCAAATGTTTGCTGTTTGCTGGATTTTCCCTCATTCTAAAAGTTTGGCATACCTCTCCCAAGACTGACTGACAGGCAAAAATAACTTTTCCACTGCAAGAGACCAACAGTTTTGCACCTGTCCCTCGCGCCGCAGCCGCCACGGCGCTGCCCAGCCACGCTGGGATTCGTAATCCAGCTGCTGTGGCCGTCACCATAAACACGGTATCTTGGTCCTGGTGTGCTGTCCCGTCCCCTCGTAGTTTTGGGAGTCTGCTGGGCCTCTGCAGATGAGATGGGGGGAGTTATCTCCCCAGCAGCTGTGAGCAGGGAATCTAGGCTTTGCTCACAGTCTCTTGGCCCAGCGAGATAAAGGCTGCGTGCCAAGGCGAGGCCATGGCAGCCAGATTGGATTGTGCTATCAGTTTGGGCTTGTTTGCCCTTTTTTCCCCCGCAGAGGCTTAAAATCAGACCGAAGGGGCCAGCCAGGTCCTCCAGACCTTCTGGGAAAAGCCACCATTCTAGGGGCTGAAACTGCGAGGGACTCCCGTCTGTGTACATTGGGGTATCTTTCCCCAGGTAAGCTAGTGTCCTGCAGGTATTTGGGGCTACAACCCCCAGAATTCGAGCACTGGCCACGGAAGGGGTGATGGAGGTTTAAGTTCACTACATCTGTTTTTACTGTTTTTACTCAATTATCTACTCCTTGCTGGCTTTTTGCTACAGGAGACTTAAACATGGCTATTGCTAATCCCCTGGGATGTTCTAACGGTTATGAATCTGGCAATCCGCATTATTATTTTAAACTGGAGAAACCCCTACCTTGCCTTGAGTTCAGGCACTCGCCCTTCTATAAATAGTGGCAGGAGCCTTTTTAGAAACTGAGAGAATCCCTATGGAGTGCAATGTGGTTTCTCCTGTGTAAGTAGATACCGCGTCCTGTGCGGCCTTTACTTGGAGAAGTCCCATCGAAATGAATGGGCTTCCTGACATAGTCAGAGCGCGCGGGGCCTTTTTAAACATGCAGGGCGGTGGTGGATTGAGATCGACACCCTTGCTCTGAGGCAGGGGGCGGCCAGAACCTGCAGCCTTTAAGGAAAACACTGTGAGAAGCTTCACCGAGATCCACGCTCCTCCTCGATGGAAGCAGGCACGGGCCACGGCGCGCTGTGCGGCCCCTTTAAGAGCCGGAGAAGCCCCACCGGCCGCAAGGCGCTTACGCGCCGGTAAGCCGGCGAGAGCTCGCGCGGCCTCAGCTGCCCTTCCGACCGAGCCACGTGGAAGGCCCCTCCCGCCGCGGCCAATCAGAGCCGCGCGCCAGCCCCCGCCCTCCGCCGCCGCCGCCGCACCGCGCTCGCACACGCGCGCAGGCACGCCCAGCGTCCCACGTGGCCGGGGCGCGCGCACTCTAGCCTGCTGCCGCCGCCGCCGCCGCCGTGCCCCTCTTTCCCCCTTCTCGCCAATGGGAGCCGCGCTGGCCGCTCAGGCGCGCCTCCTCATTGGCCGTCGCGCGGGGCGGCAGTTGCCACGCCCCCCGTGAAGCCGACGCGGCGCCTCGGTTGCGGCGTGCGCAGGTAGCCCCGCAGGGTGTGCGGCTCGCGGTGGCCTTTGGCGAGGAGGGGGCGGCGAAGAGGGGCGGCCGCTTCCCTCTGCCGAGCTGGCCGGCCATGGACTCCGGCCTGCAAGGAAGATCGGGCGAAGGGGAGGCGGCTCCAGCAGCCTGCATCCAAGACGGCTGGTTCCGCGAGACCTGCAGCCTGTGGCCCGGCCAGGCGCTCTCCCTGCAAGTGGAGGAGGTCCTGCATCACCAGCGATCGCCCTTCCAGGAGATCCTCGTCTTCAAGAGGTTGGTGGAGGGGAAGGGGAAGCGGGTATTCCGCACGTGAAGACGGCCAGGGACACGTGAAGCCGGACACGTGAGCCCAGAGCCTGTCAAAGCCAGCGATCGCCGCATTCCTCCCACGGGTTGGCAGCGGCGGCTGCTCTACGCGGCGGGGGAGCGGGGGGGTGAAAGTCGAGCCCCCACCTCCCTCCAACGAAGAGCCTTCTCCAGAAGAAGCGCTCCCTGCCCCGTTGCACCATCTTTCCAGGGTGGGTTTTCCTTGGGTGGCCCCGCCAGTGCGGATGCTAAAAGGAAGCGTGGAAACGCCTAAGATCGAGGCAGACCCGTGATCAGATTTGTCAACACGGACAGGCAAGAGCGCGACGGGGTTTCTGGCAGGCTCTGTTCCCATCCTAGCGATCCTGGGACCTCCTGCATGCAACGCAGGGGTCCTACTGCTGAGCTGTTCCTAAAAGCTTCCAGTCCTCATGGTTTCAAAGAAAGGGCTGGATAAAGTAAGAACACCAAAAGCTGCTTTCATACTGAGGCAACGTCCACTCCGATGTTGTCAACGCTGACTGGAAGCAACAGGTCTCAGGCAGGATTCTTTCCTAGCCTAACCAAGAGTTTGAATCAAGGACCTTCTCTGTTAGGCGCTGTCATTCAGTTTCGGCCGTTTGAAGTGGAGACGCAAGATCCCACCTGGTCTATTTCTCTATGCGAAATGTACCTCTGTGCCAAGGCAGAGCAGAGCAACTGAGCACAATCCCCGTTTTTCAATTCCAGTTTTTCAGAAGGGTTCAGGTGATGGGACAGGCGCTCGCTCAGCCTGAGCTGGGAATGTGCAGTCTTGGGCCGAACCGGTGCTGGGTGGCCGCTTCCCGCCTCTGTCCAGCCACAGATTTTTTGCGGGCCGATCCTGCACTATTTATTTCACCAGCTGAGCTGTTCCTACAATACCTTTTCTCCTTGCCCCCCACCGATTCCTTTTGAAAGGAGGATGCAGGAGGTCTTGGAGTCTTGTATTACACGATTGCTCCAGCAAAACCCCATCCTATGTCTGAGGGCAAACAAGTGCAGCCAAAGCGGAGCAGCTGGGAAGCAAGAAGGGGAATAGCCAAGGGAGGGAGAAAACAAGGACGACGGTGCCCTGGAAAGTGTCAATTTGGGGCTGGGGAGGGAAAAAAAGCCATGGGGGGGGTGAATCTCTGCATTCTACTATTCCCATGATTCCTGGTTAATGAGGCATTATGGGATTTGCAGCCCAAAATACCAAGCGGTTGCCAACCACCATATTATAAGAGCTGAACAGAAGGTAGCACTTGCTGGTGGAACGGCTTTTCCGTGTTCCTGTTTGCAAGTGGGGGCCCTGCCTAGTCCTGCCTGTTAAGAACAAGGGTTTCCCCAAGGAATTTCCAGTCTAAAGCTGGGCAGTGGGAGACCCGAGGAGAAGGGAAAGTTTTGAGGAGCAGCGAATGGGTGTTTCTAAAATGACTGAGCTGGAAGGGGCCATCAGGTCCAACGAGCAGGGTTAAGGGGGCCTTGTCTTATTTGAAAACTCAGCTGGAGCTGGGACACGGCGGGAATCCCTGTCTTGCTCGCTCCCCCTCCAGCTGTTTTGTCCCTCCGCTTCTCCCCATACAGCAAAACGTACGGGAATGTCTTGGTACTTGACGGCGTTATCCAGTGCACAGAGAGAGACGAGTTTTCCTACCAGGAAATGATCGCCAACCTGCCCCTATGCAGTCACCCAAACCCACGGAAGGTGAGCTGGGCTGTGTCACCCTTCTGGGGGGCAGGGTTGGGAGGGGACCCATCTTAAGAAGACCCTTGCCGGATCAGGCAGAAGGTTCAGCTCACCTGTCACCCTGTTTCCAACAGTGGTCAGTCCAGACATTTCAAGGATGCCCACGAGCAAGGCCAGGATATAGTATCCTTCACTCCCCAGTGGCTGGTTGCTCAGAGACATTCTGCTCCTGAGTTACCTGGTAGTCTTTGTGACTACCAGTCCTGGGTAGATTGAATTTGCCCAACTCCCTCTTAGAGTCGTTGTCCCTCAGCAGCCACTACAGTACCTTGTGGCAATGACTTCCATATGTATATTTCACATTTAAGTATTAACTATATACTCTGCTTCTGGAGACAAATCAAAATTAAGCCTTCCCTGAACATTTTTCTGCTTTAAGAATATAGTTTAGCCTGCTGGTACTTTCCCCCCCCTCACGAGGACTGGAAGCATGAATGTTCTGTTTGACAGGAGCAAGCAAGTGTATAAAGTGTGACATTCTCCTTTTTCTGCAGGTGCTCATTATTGGTGGGGGAGATGGAGGGGTCTTGCGAGAAGTGGTCAAGCACCCCTCAGTCGAGTCTGTAATACAGTGCGAAATCGACGAGGTACGGCGATGTATTTTGTGTCTAAATCCAAAGCTTACTATTTTCTCCTACTTAAAACTGGTACCAGTGAAATCAGAGAACCATGGGAAATGCAGCTGCCTTGCAAGGCCGCCTAGCTTCACTGGGTCTCATTCTCCCATTGAAGGGTTTCTGAGCAAGTGCAGGGAATGTTTATGTGTATATGAAATGGGGGAGGGGGGAATCCATTAATTCCCAGCATGATTAATCAAAGGGCTGCTGGGCACTTTATGACTTTTCTCTGCCCAAGATGACCACCCACTGCTCAGCACCCTGACCGCTATATCATATGGGTCACCCACCCCACCCAGTCCCTTTTCCGCCAAAGGCCACAATGAGGGAGAGATCCAGACGGAAGGTGTGCCTCCAGGAATAACTGAATTATTGTTAAAGAAAAGGAAAAATGGAGGGAGTCAAGGATGAGGGATCTGGCCTGGATTTTGCTCGCATTTCTAGCAGGCGTCCCCAGCCTGGTGCCCTTGACAAGTTGCAGACCTCAGTGCCTATCATCCCCAGCCCACAAGGCCAATGATTCTCAGGAATGCAAGGATCTGTGGCAAAAAAATAAAGATTGAGCTGGCGCAATGTTGGGAAAGTCTGCCTTTCACCAGAAGCTTTTTAACGGGCAAAGATGCACTGCAATTATTTTTGTAGGCCCTTCCTGTTCTTGGAATATTCTGCGGCCTTCATTTCTCGGAGCAAGAAAAGGTGGCCTTTGTGGAGAACGGGGTGAATTTGTCCATGTGGGCATACAAGATGTTCTTGATGGGCACCCTTTCGGAGCCAGCGCTTTTGCTCTGGATTTCCTCTGCTTCAAGCCGAGATGACTTCAAAGAAAGTTTGCCAAGTTTGGGTGGAGGAGGAAATGAAGCATTTTCGTGCCCGAGGGAGAGGAAGGCAGCTTGCTTTCTCTCCCAGAGCCGGAGGATGAGGGTTTTGGCTTGGGCCTCACCAGAGACGGCGCTATTTGAGACATTTGGCCTACAGGCAGGGATAGGTCAGTGACGAATTTCTCCATCAAAGGGCTCTTCAGAGTACCAGATTTGGGCTGCCCTGGGGGACAAGGTGTGCCAGAAGCAATTGGGTTTAGTTTTTACTTATTATTTTATATAGCAGGGTTAGGGGATCACGGCCACAGATTCCCCTGACCTAGCTGGTGGGCGGAAAGGAGCAGAACCAGGTGGGAAACTGGGCAGGTGTGTTCTTGCATCTCCAGGAATGACGTAGGCAAATAGGTGTGCAGGTGAGGGACTCTGCTGCCTTCTCCAAAGGTGGGAGATTTACCTGTGTGCCCACGCAGATTGCCAGCAACTTTGCTGCAATACATACATATCTATTTATTTATTTAAAATATTTGTATTTAGAATCTTCATATGCCAGGAAGAAGGCCTCAAAGCGTTATACCTCACGGAAAGGTTTACATCGTTATGTGCTCCACCTTTACGTAGAGGCAACACCCAGAGTGGCTTACAGTCCCTTTTTCAGGTGATCCCACCCCTCAGGCCTACTCTTGGAAAGGCACAGCACAAAAGGAAAAGAGGACGGGGAGGGTGGAAGAAAGCAAGCTGGCTCCAGGACCAGTTCTTGAGACGGCCCTTCCGTCGGATAATCCGCGTGGCTCATGGAATGGCTACCCCCAGGTGCTGATAAATGAACGCATGGCTTGTTTCAGGATGTGATCCAGGCATCGAAAAAATACCTCCCGGGCATGGCTGTGGGATACTCCAGCCCCAAGCTCACCCTCCATGTTGGGGATGGCTTTGAATTCATGAAACAAAACCAGGAGGCGTTTGATGTCATCATCACGGACTCTTCTGACCCCATGGGTGAGTCTCGAGCTCGGACAAGGGCGTGTGAGGGGAAGCGCGATGGACGTGTGGGAACCGCTGCGAGGGGCAGAGGAGACCCCTTTCCCCCTCTCTTGTAACTCCAGCGCTCCAAAGGGGTCCCCCCTTGCAGCTGATCCTTGGGGGATTCAGAACCGACAGACAGAAGGAGCTCAGGGCCGCCCCTTGAGACCGGCGGCAGAGGCCCTCCTCCGGGAGCCCTCCGTGAGAGACATTAGGAGGGTGAGTACCCGGAGGAGGGCCTTCTCTGCGGTGGCACCCCGACTGTGGAATGCGCTCCCCAGAGAGGTCCGCCTGGCGCCGTCGCTATTTGTTTTTCGGCGCCAGGCCAAGACCTTTTTATTCAAACAATATTTTAATAATGTTTAATATTTATAGGTTTTAATTGTGCAGCCAGGGTGTTTCTGGGTTTTAATTGTAATTGTTATTTATACTGTATTTATTTATTTTTGTGAGCCGTCCCGAGGCTATATAGCAAGGGGACGGCATATAAAAACTTTAAATAAATACATAAATAAACCTGGAAACTCATTGCCACAAGGTGTTGGGACGGCCACCAGCCTGGAAGGCTTTGAAAGGGGAATAAGGGATTCATGGAGGCTGTTGTGATGGCTGCCTTGTCCTGCTGGAGACTCCGGTGGCTTCTTGGTGACCACTGCGGGTGCTGGGCAAGACGCTCCCTGGTCTGATGCTGCGGGGCTCTTCAAATGTCCTTACGGGAGTCTTGTCTGGTCCTGAAAGAACAGCAACACTGGCACTCAACAAGCCCCACTGGAAGGAGGGTCCTGCCATAGGGAGCTACCACCAAGAAGGCCCCCCTCCATGTATCCCTCCTCTGATCACCGTTGGAGGGGGGCTTCAGAGAACAGTTGCAACATGCCGGGTGGGTCCATAGCTCGTAACTGGCGAGCTTCACTCGGACGTCACATGCAAGTCAGAGATATTCGGGAATGGTTTGTCACTCTTGCTCACTCATACGCACTGCTGCAAAGCAGCCCCAATCCAGCTGCAGCCCAGCTTTCATCCCGAGGTGCTCTCTTAAGCTCGATTGCACGGCTTTCCAGTTTGCGCCCAAAAGCGACTAGGCGGCCCCTTCCTCCCCAGGTCCTGCAGAAAGCCTCTTCAAAGAGTCCTACTACCAGCTGATGAAGACTGCTCTGCGGGAAGACGGCATTCTCTGCTGTCAAGGTACAGGCCTGGCTGGCTTGGGACCACAGGCGGGCCAGATGCAGGGTGTGGGTGGGCTGGATCGGGGGTCGCGGGCCTGGATTCAGCCTCTCCAGCCTGGCCTAACGGCAAACGAGGGTGAGGCGCTGGACCTGCTTGGCTAATGGCTTCCCTCCCTGGTGTTTGGTGCCCCAGTGCTTTGGAAGCTGGGCTGGTGAGAGATCCGAGACGCCAGCCCCTGTAGGGAACCATGGAAGAGGTGGTGGTGCCAGTCTCTGGAATATTTGAGGGCTGCTGTGCAGAAGGTCCAGCAGGGCACTTCTTGGCCTCTGCCCAGGGCTGGGCTAGAGTGGATGGGCAGAGACGGCAGGAGGCAGGTGTCAGAGAAAAATCAGGAGAAACTTCCTAATGGCAAGGGCGGTTTGGTGCTTTGGATTGGTGGGGTTCCTTCGCAGAAGGTTTTTAAACTGGCCTCTGTCATGGGTGCCACAGCGGCAAGATTCCTGCATCGAGCAGGGGTCAGACTAGTTGACCTCTAGGGCCCCTGCCAAGCTCTCAGTGTTCCATGATTCTGAACCTGTGTTCAAGGCTCGACAGGGGAAGCGCTCCAGGGGCTGAACTGCCCTATGCAGGATGACCACTTCCCCTGCCCTGCTGCATCCCCCAGGACGGGGCTAAGCTCCCTCTCCCAACTCTCTCTCGCCCAGGCGAATGCCAGTGGCTGCACCTCGACCTCATCAAGGAGATGCGCCAGTTCTGCCGGTCGCTGTTCCCCGTGGTGGAGTACGCCTACTGCACCATCCCGACGTACCCGAGCGGGCAGATCGGCTTTATGCTGTGTAGCAAGAACCCAGTAAGGCCCGCTTGTGTTCGCGCGCGCGCGCGTCGTCTCCCTGCAGTTCCTCTTCCGTGTGGCTGTGCCCGTTTCATGCCAGCCCCTTCTGGGGCCTTTCCCTCTTGTGCCAGGCAGCTCACATCCCGGAAAGGGATCTGACGCACATCTGCAAGTTGGTACTTGAGAATTGCCGGTTGCCCAAGGAGCTCTTAAAACTGCGTTTTGCTTGAACCGAGGCTGCTGCCGTTGCCAGCAAGCAGCCGCAACCCTTTCCAAGAAAGCTGGAACCTGCCGCACTGGTTGCCTTGAGAAGCGAGTTCTAACAGTTTTCCTTCCACTGGGAGTGGATTTTTGGTGAAGCAACTGGCCATTCAGCACCAGGCCGCTCTCTAATGTGTTGCATCACAGCAGGAAAAGACCTGTGGTTACTGGGAAAACGCAGGATAGTCTGTTTGCGGCAGGTGGGGAACAGGTGGCCGCGGTTTGTCTTTGCAAGCTCCACCTCCACTACACCTCTGGCCAGGCCTCCCCGAGGTGTGCCAACACCTCCTGGGGCCAGGGATTCTCCCCTTGCTTTGCAGCTGTGGGTGAGTCAATGCCGTGTTTTTTATGTCTGATCTCCTCCCGCAGAATACTAATTTCAGGCAGCCGATCCAGCCACTGACCCCCGGGCAAGTGAGCAGCATGAACCTCAAATATTACAACGCAGACATCCACCAGGCGGCTTTCATTCTGCCAGAATTTGCACGAAAGGTAAAAAAAACAAAACGGTGTTTCTCTTTCCCTGAACCTTAGGTCCACAGGCTTTAGGGACCCTTGAATGGGGGAATTTTCCCAGCTGGCGTGGTCCCAAGTGCGAGAGAGGACGGAAATCTGTAATATCCAATATGCAGAAACGTGGAGCAAAGACGGGGCTCGGTTTGGAAGAGGTACCAAAAAGTTCTGTGTTATTTAGCTAACTGACGGGATTTGACCTCGACGATGCTGCCTGCTTCTCGCAGGTCTGCCCCGCTCTATAACGTGAAAATGTCTCATCACTGCATGTTTTGTCCAGCCATCGTCTGCATTCTTCAAGCGCTGTTCTTGCCCTCGTCCCAAATGGCGCTGCATCCGAGGTTCATTATCAAAGCCTGCTCAGGAGCTGTTGAGCCCCCAACTCCCATCCACCCTAGCCACCAGGGCCAGTAGCTGGGGCGAATGGGAGTTGCTATCCAGCACGCACGCACACACACGCACACACCAGAAGGATTCTCTGGAATCTACAGGGGAATATCTCAGCCCAAGACAATGTGCCTTCACTTACTCTGGGCTACAGCACATGACCAGCAGCTACGGATCGTGCTCCCTTTCTTCAACAGCTTGACAGTGATTCCGCCCTTTCTGCTTCTCCCCTGCCAGGCGCTGAGCATCGTCTGAAAACACCAGCGGGTCTTTGCCTCAGAGCCCCAGGGATTTTGAAGGGAGATGAGCGTGGCGGGATTCCTCCAGGCGGCACCGAACAGCCTTCCGCCCGTGGCCCAGCCGGACCCTCTGCCAGTGAAACATTCCTTCCGATGATGTATTATTTTATTTCAGTTTTTCTTAAAGAAAGAAGAGACTCTGGCTTCCTCTTGGCTGAGACTGGAAAACCAACCCCAGAATCCTGGCCGCCGATGCATTGCTTGAACTCTTTCAGGACTCAGCATCTTAATATAGACTTCAGGCTTCTGCCGTTTCCCTTTCTGCTCAAATGTCTGTATTTATAATTGATAACAAATCGGACACTCTGCCCTGCAATGCCACGGATTGGCTGATGGGGGGTGAGTTTTCTTGGGAGCCCCTCTTTGCCATACTTTTTCTGCTTTGCTCACATCACCCCCAAGAAAAAAACAGAATGAGTGCCATCAACACAGAGCTGATGAGCTCTCAGGAGCCCCACTGTGGCGTACTAGCGGGCAGAATGCAGGGAAGGGCGTTCTGAGCACCATCTGAGCACTGGGGAGCTTCCCGGACTTTGTCCAGAGAGAATAATTAACGCACCTGTATAGTAAAATAACCCCAAAAAAGCCCATATGTATTATTTATTTTAGCAGGGGAGGAGATGCGTAAGCTGGACAGGAGTCCCCATCTTTTTTATGGAGGGTTGTGTGCTGGAACTGAGTTGGTTTGCCCTACCAAGCATTAATGAAATACACTGAGGAACCAGTATGGTGTGTCCCCCCCGTCCCCCCGGAGGGGGCAGAATGGAAGTGTGTCTAAACAGCAGAAGTACAAAGAGCACAGCTGAGGTTTTTAGCTCAACAGCTTTCCAGATCTCGGCCTCCCCACATTTCTCTCTTAGCAACATGTCCTGGAGCATTTCTATGTGGTTATAACCATATGATAATAGACCTAAAAGAAGGACACACACTGATGTACTGATTTAGAATCTTTCTCCCTACAAGGATTGCACTTAAAGCCACCAAACCACAACTCTGCTACAGGAAGTAAAATCTACCTGGAGGCAAAAACATACAAGGAGCAACAAGCATATTTTAAGTAAAAGTCCTTCCTGCCTTTGGAGATGCATTTCAACATTTCAGAATGGTGCAGGTGGACTTTACAATCCTATGCATGCTTCGAGAGAGAAACCCCCAACACCCCTAGCATTCTTCAGCCCATGACTGAGGACAGAGATACGTTCACCCTGGCTAACAGTAAGGAACGGAACAATCCAAAGATGGGCCAAGAGAGACCTGCATGTGGAGCATTGGTAATTGCTTCCATAGATCTTGACCAAAAAGCTTGCAAACCATACACTCCTGCTTTGCAATTTCAGGTATGAGGCCCAAAGTCAATGAACACTGTATCCACTCCAGCTTTTGGTCTGAACTTTCAATGTTCTATCCAAGATGCCAAACCCTCCCCCAAAATGGGTTCAGTACCACAAACCGCTTTAAAGGTCAGACTGAAACGCGGATTGGCTACGCCACCATTCTGAAGATGTAGCCAGTGCTGTGGAAATACCTTTACCAGGACGACGCAACCTGGGATCCCACTGGCCGGTGAATGGCATGCGCGTTCGCACTGCGAGCTTTTGGGTAGAGGGCAGGTATCAGGTGCCGCGATGGCAGGCATGGCAAAGCAAGGCCCCGCTCCACTCCAGGGAGATGGTCGCGCCTGTCTCCCGTGCAAGCCACCTGGGAGCAGCGGGGAAGGGCCAGGTGCAAATTCCAGGGAAGCATTTGGACGTGCTCCAAAGGGGTGACTCAAATCACGTATCACAATGGGAGACGCAACTGCAAGGGGGCGGGGAACAAGGCTGGCTCCCACGATGGGCATGCACGACAACCCGGGGGCAAGCACTCCGCACGCGGTTCCACTTCAGCGGCAACCCCCACCAAGCCCTCTTCCTTCCCCGCTGGCCACGGCTCCAAAACTACTCGGGGGCTCTCTCGGGAGGCTGAAGCTCGAGCCTTTCCGCCTCCAGACTTCTCCGCAGGCGGGGCAGCGAGTGGAGCAGGGCACACGTTCCAGTGCTCCGCAAACAGCCAGAGTGGCCTAGCGGTTAGAGCGCTGGGCGGGGCCTCGGGCAGACCTGCTTCGGCCCCGGGCCTCCCTAGGGGGCAAGGCGGGGGCGCGCAACCGAGTGCGGCCTCGGGGCAAAGCCCGAGAGTCGCGTCGGAGGCGGGTTACGGTCGAGGAGCAGGCCGGGGCCGGGAGCCAGGCGACGCCGGGGGCGAGGGGACGGCGAGCCAAGGGCGGTACCTGAGCCAGGAGGGCCGGGCAGCTTCCGGGGCGCGGCGGCGGCGGCGGCGGCATCGGCAGAGCTGGGCACGAGGCACGGCGCCCGCGAGCGGGAAGGCGCCTTCCGGGAAGCCTCCGCGAGGCGCAGGCGCCCCGGGGCTCCTCCCAGGGCCCCGCCGGCCCAATCTCGCCGCGGCCGTTCAATCCCGGCCGCCAGGTGGCGCTCGGGAGCCGCCAGAGCCTGGCGCCCGCACTGCCTGGCCTACTTCACAGGGTTGTCGCGAGGGGGGGGCGTTTCGTTGGGTTCCTTGCCAATAAAAGCTAACCCCAAATAAGTGATTCACGAAGAGCCAGTCCGAGTTTGCTAGTGGGACTCGCGTGCAGGAGAGTTTTTCAGCCACACTTTGCTGGAGAATCCACACGAGCGGCCGCGGAGGCAGCTCCTGCAAGCTTTCAGCGGGAGCCGGTGGGGCTCGGGGGTCTACAGTGCTCCCCGTCCGAGGCTTAGCAATTTCTCGAAGTGCCCACGAAACTCTTGCAAAGCAGGAGCGAGGGTTTCAAGACGACGCGTAGCTTTGTCCCGATCGGGGGCAAACCTCGGCTCTGGAGCGCCTCCTGCGGGTAGGAAAGAGAAATGAGGCCTGACCTTGGGGTGTCCCCTTCCCCTCACAGAGAGCAAGTTCCCGCAACGGGTTCTCCCCAAGGCTCACATTTGCTCCGACAAATTAATGCCTCTCGAGGCACATTCAGAAGTTCTCGTTTCCATTTCCCGCCCAGACTCCCCCAGGGAGCTGCAGGGCCAGGTGAAGGCTAGAACTCCCCAAGCCACTAACTGCTACACCACGCTGCTCTCCGGTCATGGGATGGGCCAGAGAGCCTTCCGTCGAGGTGGCCTTGTCTGAGGCCAACTGTTGGCCCTCTTGTCATGCCTCCTCCATGGCTGCCATGGCCCAGGCCACCAGTGTCTCCAGTCCCACCCAGTAAAGCATGGTACTTCCCACTCCAGGGATCCTAAGTATCCTGTGAACTCCAAAATGCTCAGGAGCTGCGGAATTCTCTGCTGCCGCTTCATCTCGTGCCATTTCTACACTCCTCACAGGCATCGTGGGGGTGCGTGTGAGATCTTGCCTTCGATTCACCAGGTGCTCCGAGTCCCCACCCCAAGCACCCAGAGCAGCAGCAGGCTGGCCGAGCTTTCCATATTTTCTTGACACGGAACTGCCTCTCTGGCCTGCCCCGCAGGGCCGGCTGCTCCTAAGTGCTGCTCGGCCTCCCCGGAGCTGCTCACCCTTGTCTCCCCGAGCAAGGAAGTGTCCGGCTTCGCACCACAGTCGTGCCACCGGCTGTCTTCTCAGGAAGAACTGGGCTGTGTGTCTTCACAGCTGTGGAACCGGAAGAAAAGAACCCCCCTTCTTGGACATTCTTGGCCACCCTGCCCTTTGCACTGGGTCAGTGGCAGGGGCTGGCGGGGCCCCTGTCCATTTGCAGGGGCCAAATCAGAGCCCCAGTGCAGTCCAGGATTTTCATATGCATATCAGTATGTCCTTGCAGCAGCAGCAACAAAAACCTGATAAACTTGGAATGATTCTGGTACTCAACATCCATCAGAGTGGCCAGGGCAGTCTCGGGAATGATGGGATGTATGTAATCCAAAACCAGTGGAGATCACTGTTTGGGGGAAGTCCTCCTAGGAATGGAGCGATACATTTAGAACTTTCCTCGTGCTTGGACCAAAGTGACTCATTCAGCTTTGGGCAGGGGCCTGGTCCCAAGAGCTATGCTGCCTCTTGCATCGAGGGAACCAGCCTGAAATTAAACCCTCAAAACACACACAGGGTGGGCAACAAATTTCAGCTCAAGCTTTATTGCTCATGGAACCAGATGATCAAGTCAACCAGATGTTCTAGGTTAAGAGCAACCAAGAGTGGCTGCATGAACGGGATGCAGGCGTTCCTTGCTGTCAACCAGGAATAAGGTAGAGGTTGCATTTGGTCTGTGTGAATCTGGGCTACAAAGAAGGTTGATGAGTAGCAATCCTATCTTTAGAAAGGAGGTCCTCAAGACATAGCTATTGGGTGGTCGGGTGCAGGTTGATAAATTACTTCTCCATCTTGCTGGAATGTTTTCTTTAATGCTCCAAATATACCATGGATTAATAGACCGCCAAGTATGCCTTGCTTTGCTTTATGGTTTAGTTCCGTCCTGCCATTTGATGCTTCCTGGAGACAACAAAATAGAAAGGTTGCAAGGCTCAGCAAGCGCAGCCTCCAAAAGTGACCACAGACCGGATGGTCTCCTCCAAGAAGACCACACATGGCTCTTGTGTTGCCTTGAAGATCAAGAGATTTCCGGAGATCAAGCTTCTCTCACCATCTGAGGGTCCTCACTTGATCAAAAAGGTCTAATGAAGTGTGCCCAAGGCAAGGAATCAGAGTGGACCTTTAAGGTGCCACAAGAGAAAAGAGAGATTGGGTGGAACATCAACAGTTGCCCTGTGCCGAGTCAGACCCTGGGTCCATTTAGCCCAGACTGGAACACGACAGCTGCCCGGGATTTCAGCCCAGATCCTGCCCTTGCCCTTCCCGGAGATGCCGCTCTGCAGGGCTTGGTCACTGAGCCATGGACTCACCGGTCTGCCAGAAGCAGGAGGGAGGCCTTGGAATTACCCCTGCTTTTTTGTTTCCGGGGCAAATTCCAGCTGGGTTTGCTCTTGTGGTTTTAGCCCAGCCTCAGTATAGTATCATCAGGCAGCTGGAAGGGCTGCATAAGTGGGGAGGAGGCGCTCTGGCGTTCGCCGGCCACAGCGACTGATCCCGCCTAAATCCGGCCCCAGCCCAGTGCTCTGCAATGCGTGTTCTCATTATTTTGATGGAATGCACATTCTTATTCCTCCTGCTGCGCAAGCCGGGGCAGCAACAGAGCGTTCATGGTCAGCGTCTTTCTTGATTTCATTCGTGGCCTGGTCATGTTATTGCACATGTTCTCTTCTTGCTGCCTTTTAAAGGCGTGATTTCAAGATGTGATACTCTTGGGATGCAGGGAGAGGAGATGCTCCCCCCGCCCCCACCCGGCCTTTCTACTCACCGGCTTCTCAGCGTCTCCTGCCCAGACCTCTTCCACAGCCATCAGTGCCCAGATGAGCAGCGTGGCAGCAAGGAGGCGGCTGGAGGGGTTCATAATGCCTTGACGTGAGAACGGCTTCCTGGGCTGGCGGAAGGGAGAGCTGCTCCTCAGGGCCACTGCGTCTCACAAGATGCCCTTGCTACTTATTCCTTTCTCCCTGAGCAACACGTGGCCGGCTGCAGAACCAGCCATCCGGCGAGCTGCCTTATCAGGAACAAAT